CTGATTTTGCGCATTTGGAGGAGTTTCATTATGCTCTTTCAAGTTATGGGGTCCAAATTTCAAAAGTTCTAAAATAGATTTTTATGGCGTCATCACTCTGAACTCTATTCTGTGCTTCAGTATGCATAGATACGCCATCTTGTGGTCAAACTGAATTTTCCACCATTTCATCAAAGAAGAGAGTCGCTTCTAATTATCTGTTGAATAAAATCAACTGACACATTTTGTTGCGGAATTTTCAAAATCTTGAACCTTCCACAATTAATTTGAGCTCCAGACCCCAACCTGGAAGGCCATCTGCAATACCATTGGCTTAGAAGAAATCAGTAATAAAGCACGGATACACAGTGGGCCATGGGGCCTTGCATCCAATGGACTCAATTAAAAATGGATATGGAGGAAGACACTTTTTTGCAACGAGGACAATTAGATACATGTTGTTATTAGATTGTTATTTTAGTAAAGCCCCTGGCAACTTCAAAATCTTTGCATTTGAGACCCAGCAACAATATTTAACTTGTTCCCCGACAGATAAAATGCCCTTAAATCCTATGGTTTAGTAAAATCTCATAGGCTGTTTTGAAAGAGTGAAACACCCCACGAGTGATTTGATGGGAAAGATCATGTGCTACTGTTTTCGTACTTTTATTTCTTGATGCAAATAAATCCAAAAAATACATCTATAAGGCATTTAAAATCATTATGTTATGTGACATAAGAGGAAAAGTCTTCATGCCTATCATTTCAAATAAATGCAAAATTTTACTGAAGAACATTCTGTAAATCTAATCTGATCACCTTCGAATTACAATTAACCTTGGAAGTAAATTGACAATGAGCCCCAACTTGAAGAAAGCTCCAATCCTAACCAAACAAACCAATTTCCACAATACATTGATGACTTTTCCGTGAAAAATTCAAAGGGGATAAACAACTAAGAAAATAAAGCCTCTTCACAATGCTTTGATTTTCATTATTTCATTGAATGTATTTTTTACCATGAACTGATAAAATAATGTATTGTAAACATTGTCTCGTTCGTTGATGGGAGCTTATCAGGATTTTACAGTGCCAGGATGGGGGCTAATCGGAATGGGGCTAATGCTTAGAAGCAGGCGGAAGTTCAAAGAATTACGATACCCATACGGCTAGCTTTTTCTATAGTCTAAGAGAGTAAACAATTTCATTGCATGGATATAGGAATACAGTAGGAGATTTCAGCATCTATTCCGTCTAACGGGGCCTTTTTAACATACCAACTAGGGGCAATTGTCCCCAAAGCCCTGGTGACTTTCCATTGTATTAAACAATAGGCTATTGTCATCATCTTCATTTAAACAAAGGCTTGTCCCCGCAGCTAACTTGCCTTTGAACTGGCTATGCTGTTCAAGGGATAAGAACAATATTCAATTGATACCCCCGTCATTTGATAAGCTGTATCACCTATTCTGACCCATAATAACGCTAATAGATAATCTCCATGTTCCTAAAGACCCGTCATTAATCCGAAGACGTAGTAAAAGACCCTCAAAGACTTGAGAAAGTATTGTCTTTCTCAACACAAAGGCTGTTCATTGTTGTGTGAATAATCAACTTTGCGCTAAACTTGAAGTCACATCACATCCTGAAAGAAATCAAACCGTTTTCGACCTTGTCTTTTTTTAATAATTTATATTAAGTCGCAACCGATCCTTATGAATGTACCTTTCGATCAAGCTTTGAAGGATTTGATGAAAACTGGCCGTCTAACATGAACTTTAATAGATTGATATGTCCGGCAAGCAGAGGTAAATAGGCCACAACAACAATCAATCATTTACATACGGTAGTATACCATTTAATTGCATGTGATTTGATAATATTAATTCACGCTGTTTTTATCTTTGTTCGTGTCAGGCTTTTGAGAACGGACGACATCCGCCGTTATCTGCAAGAGAAGAAAGGAGAAATAAAAGAACGAACAAGAAGATGGAGTGTTTGTTCAGATTCAAGCGACTGCAGTGTCCAAAGTAACTCGTCTATAAGGTCATTGCCCCAATACAGCAGTTATAGGTACGTGGAACTTGAAAATTTTTTATTTATCAAGACGCAGATGACAGATTTGCTTCTCATTTTATTTTTTCAAGCGAAATTTTTTTTGCCTGAAATCTTGGATGAATGAGCTAATTTTTTCAAGCAGGTCTTGCTGACAACGTGTCTATGGTCTTATCTCGTGGTTATGTAAAACCCGGACCGATTCTCCGAAGAGTCTCAGGAAAACAAGGTTCAAAAAACCTTTCTCTGTGAACTTCCGCAAAACAGTCAAAAATTTATGTTCAAATGCAAGTGTCTACCTGCTCATTTAATCTGATTTTATTGCTCATTCTATTGATTGATGTCCACCCATAAGCTTTGCCTAACCTGCCTCTCTTTCATTTCCGTGCTTGGCTTCGGCTCTACTCGCCAGTCTCGAAGTGACGTCATCAAAATGTATTTTAAGGGATTTAAATTTTGACCGCATTACCTTAAAAGCAACATAAAATACCCATGAATTGCAAGATCAATTGAATATGTTGAATATTGGTTGATATATTGGTTGTTTCGACTTGGTTCATGAACAGAGACCAAATTGACAATTACACTCTCTTTTTTATAAGAACAAGTAAATTTAAGTTCAGGCTGACTGTTCTTAATTTTTTCAAAAATCTGAGGCTGGATTGTTCTTAGTTTGTTCTTAAATTAAAAGGGTGTAAGCAGTGCTATTGCTAGCTTTTTCGCTCTAGGGTAGTGTACAGGCCTCATTTGGCAAAAAAGTGAATGCGACAGCCGTAATTTGTTGACATATTTGAATATTCACCGAAAAAGCACCCACACATCGCTAAAAATCCTCGATTTTTAGAAAAAACATTGTTCAAAATTGCATTTTGCAGAAGCTCAGCCTCGGCTTGTTTTTAATTTGTTCCTAACTTTTAACCAGTTTTAAGGCTCATGTTCTTATAAAATTGTTCTTATAAAGAAAGAGTGTACTATCACCCCACAAATCTTATGCAAAAATCCTTTTGTTTTCGAGGAAAATCCCAAAAAATCTTATGGTTTAGTAAAATCTCGTATGCTGTTTTTGAAAGAGTGAAACACCCCTCGAGTGTTTGATGGGAAAGAAGATGTGCTACTGTTTTCGTACTTTTATTTCTTGAAGCTCTTTCAGGTTACGTGAACCAAATTCCAAGTTCCTAAATAATTTTTTTAAAGAAAAATAAATGTCTTCCCGACCTCAGAGTTTGCTGTGCTGGCGCTTTCAAGACAGCCGTCTAAAAATTTCATTGTTATCAAAAAATATCCGTTACAACCACATTAGTGTTTTCTTTTTGTTTCTCTAATTTAGGGAAAATTCCCTTTTTTGCGAATATTTAAAACAATTTTTGCAACTTTTATTCCACTTTTCCGTGACAAATTCAACTTACTTTAAATAATCCTTCCTTTTGCAGCCGATCCTTTTGAATAATGTTTTGCTTAATTTCAATTGTCTTCTAAGTTTGCGAAATCCGATACTCAACCTATTTTTCATCAACTTGTTTGTAAATAATCATTCAAGTCTCCAAATTTAACCAAAACAGTGTTCTGATACTAAGAGTATTGCTAGTCGATTAAAATCTTACTATTAAACAGTCTTCGTTAATGTAGGTTTATTAGTGGTGTTTTATCTTGTTTAATGACATGATGTTTTTTCTAACTTGGTTAGCTTGGTTTTTTATTACCCTCGAGCTAACTCACCTATTTCTATGGTTATTGATATCTTCTCTGAACCAGACTCTTTATAAAAATTCAATAGAAATAAGCAAGCATTTTCTAAAAATGGCGTTTTCCGGCGCTCTAGAGGGCGTGGCCTCAAAAAATTTCGGTCACACCCATTTCAGCCCCTCCACTTTTAGAGTAGTGAGCGGTCCCTGTCAACCCTTTCGTTCTCCCTCTCTTCCAATTTTTAAAAAGCTTAAACTTCTCAGACTTCAAAACATTTTCAGCTAAGACTATTTGTTTATGAATCTATAAATAAGAAAAATCCTTGTTGCTTTCATGAATACTTCTCTTTCAATGCAAATATTCACCAACACTCTACTAGGCAATCTAATCGCGGTAATTTGTTTCTGACTCATAGGAACAGTTTTCTGTATGGCCTGACGTCTATTCTTATATATGGGGCAAAAATGTGGAATGACCAACCAGTACAAATTAGAAATTCTCCTTCAAAATATTATTTACAAAACAGCCAAGTAATCATTGATGGTTTTTTAACTTAGTCTATACATGATAATATTCTTCTGTGGAAGACTCAAAGCAACTCACAGATGATTTTTAGAGGAATATAATATGTTACAAAAGATTACCATGGCTACGACAGGATTCTTTTCTTTCACAATACCATATTTAGAGAGCGGCAAAGGTTGCGGTACAAGAGCCCATTTGCCGTTGGGACTCGTTGTCATTTGTTCGAAAGTAAAGGGAAAACTGGTGCTATGTGTCTTAAGAAAATTTGACAGGGTTCCAGAACCTTTGGAACCCGGTCTGAATATGCAACTGCCGCCAATTCAGGCCCGTTGGAAGCTGAGTGCTGGGGGGTAGAGCCCCCCAATAATTGTAAAAACTGTAGTATGTTTCCTTTATGACGCTGAATGAGAAGGAATACAATGGGCAGCCTCCCCAATATGAATTTCGTTCCAACGGCACTGCAGTTAGTTGTACTGCTCAAACAACGGCATAGGCTACGATATAGGATTGAAAATTTAACATCCATAACAAATGATTTTGCAAAAAGTTTTATTGTTTTGCAAAAGTGGGGGCATTGCCCCTGGCCCCTCTTTCTTCGGAGGCCCTGGGGAGAGGGGGGGAAAAACTCTAGCCTGCGCTCACATAAATACGGTGCTTTATAAATTTAAGAAGAAAATATAGGGATTTCTCAAGATGTTTGAAAGGTCTTTAGGGAGCCCTTCAAGATGTATGAAAGGTCTTCACACAATACTTTTGTCTTTGGAATTGAAAGTACAAACTTCTGGAGCTGTTTTAACTACTTACACTACTTACCCACTTGCTTGGGTTTATGCTATCTGTTTGTTTGTTTGTGCCTGAGTGTGAGCTTGCACATTTCTCTCAATACTGTACAGGTTTTGCATAGCAGCTCATTGTTAAATGATGGCACAGTAAGCCAGCGAGGTTTATGTTTATGGGTAAGATCAGATGAGAAGAGTTTTGCATGGCCTATTTTTTCCTCAAGTGGCTTTTCGTCAAGCAGAGTGCGGGGCTGTTTTAAGGAAGATTAGCCTCAGCTTTAATAAAGTGTCTGTGTGCGTGCCTTTGTTTGTTTCTTATGGTAGTTTATCTTTCATAGTATCTGCTTTGTTTTTCATAAGTATTCTGTTAATGTTTGCGAGAAAGAAGTTAGTTCCACTACATCTTTTCCTTCTGTTTGTCAAAGATTACGTCATTACCTTGCCTCGTATTCCTGTAGGTTCAGGCCTAGACAACGTATTGTGTTCTTGGATTTCTGATTTAGCCTAGTTGAAAACAAATTTATATGACAGCAATTTATGGAAAACTGAAGTCCAGCAGATCTTTTGTGTAGCTGAAATTTTTGTGGCTTTAATTGACAAATCCTATATTGTCTTTAAAGGTACGTTAAAACAACACCTATTTGCAGTAGGAGGTATTTAACTGTGTCCACAAAATATTGCTGTAGGCCGCCGCTTCCTGACTCAAGTGGAATCTGTGGGCAATATTAGGCAGTAAATGCAGTTTTGAATATCAGGAAGATAGTTTTAATGGTCTATTTCACATAAACTCATGGAATAATTGTATTATTTAGGGCATTTTCTGCTAAAGGATCGTTGAATGCCATGAGTGGCCTACCAACTCCTTCAAAATCAAAGTCGAAAGTCGTGCCGAGGGGGCATTCCTCCGCCTCCAAAGACGATGCTGTTAATGGCAGATCATCTGGTATGTCAACTCCTGGTGCAATGTCAAGAGAAAACTCCTTTACAAAATCACAACTGCCTGTTATGAAAAGGGAGTCTTCCATTCCGAACATGAAACGAGAAACGTCGATACCAAAAATCACTCGTGAATCGTCAACCCCCCAGATGAAACGGGAATCTTCAATTCCGCAAATTAAAAGGGAAAGTATAAAAACGCCGTCAAAACAAACTCCTACTCCTGGAGCAGTAAAAAGAGAAGGTTCTTTGTCGCAGATTAAGAAACCAACATCCTCAGTTGTAAAGCCAAGGGGCGTATCAACTGACTCAGAAAATTTGAAAATTGGAGACCGAGTAAACATCACAGGAACAGAAAAGAAAGGGGTCATTCAATTTGTTGGAGAAACAAGGTTTGCTAAAGGTCAGCTATTTATGTTTTAGCGCCTTGATAAAAAGTATCTAGTTTCACTGTAGTTGAACTATTTGATCAGGGACCAAGAGATCACTAGATTTTGTTTGCCAACAGTCATTATATTATCCAGGGCTGTAGTTTTGATAAACTATGCTTTAAATATCAATAGTAAATTGAATTTGATTCATTTTTGAAAACTGTATGCCCATAGTTCGAGGGTGCTAAAAATGGACAGGGGATGGCTGTTGACAGGGGGCACATTCAATTCAAGTGTTATGGCTGCTTTGAAAACATTTTAGACCTACTTGGCTCCATAGGTTTCTGGCCTGACATTTCTATAATAGGTACATTTATTTAGCTTTGCTGTCAAAAAGTGCTTTATATCAAGTTCAATTCTCAAGTTTTAAATCTAGACATTAATTTCGTTAAGAAGGATTTAGGTTTTTGGCTTCAGAACTGCCACCCTGGACTAAATGGCCTGATGCATGTATGCATTGCATTGTTACCTGAAAGAAATAGGATAAGAGCAACCTAGTGGTGGGTCTGTTATTGTTTGGCTACTATGGCCTTTATTTAAATGGGTTAGCAGTTTGCCACCTAGTAGGGTTGTGGATATGACACATAGTAGTCACAAGTTTCAACAAATTTCCCCATCAAAATATTGTTGAATGGTGAAGTAATTTAATTTGAATACTTTTTTTTACCAAATACTATTAAAATTACAGTATTTATCAAGAATGTTGTTCCATTCTTCCTCTCAGGTTACTTTTGATCTGTTTCTGGGTATAAATTTTCTGCTTTCTTTTGGACATTACCCAATGTTCAATCTCAGATGAATGTCAGAAAAATTACTTAGTATGATATGTTTCCGCTCTTCTCTGCTATTTTCAATGGATCAAGAGTGCTTCATAAAACACAGCCTTTGGTCCCAGACATGGAAGATGTCGTGAATTAGTCCTTTCTTGAAATAACGGAGCAAAATTTAATCAATATTGACTGGGGTACAACCAAATTAGCTCGCCTACTTTCCCTATCAAATTAATGTTATTGAGCCTTGGAGCAAGCCAATTAAACAGTTATCAATTATATAGTAATCAATTAACAAAATTCAGGTCTTCCACTGGCCATAAGCATTTCTACAGGAGCCTTTGTGATTGTTGATCAATATTCAACATTCTCTATTTCTATTTTCTATTTATTATGATGTCATCATTTTATTTGTGATTTAGATTTGTATAGCTATCAGTTATCTAGCATTTTTCCAGTTTGCACCATGCAAGTACAATGTTGTATTGCAAAATGAAAAATAAGCATGTTTATGATTCCAAACTTCAAAGATGATAAGATTATTATCTTAAAAAAAGCTGATAAAAAGTACTATAACTTGAACTGTTGTTAACCTGCACATTACCTCTGTTTTTAGCTGAACAGAGTTTCAGTCCACTTTTCTTAGGGATTTGTGGAAATTCAAAACCGCATTGTGTGATTTCTTCATAAGATGATATTTCAAAATTAATTGATTTAAGGCAAAGATATTTTGGAGAAGATAGGTTCAAGAAAGGACAGTGGGGATTAAGGCAATGGGGGGAACAGTGGGGGAGAAAGAAATATAAAAGGGAACAAATGCAGAAATGGGGGGGGGGTTGGCAATGTATCCTACCTTTGTTTTGATCTCAGGGACATTTGCAATTTTTGTCATTGATAAATTTAAGGATGACAACATTTTTATAAAAAATGAATTTGATGTGATTGATGACGTCATGTTCTTGCTGTTAAGAAATGTTTTTGACAAGACTATGCCACCTCCACTGTTTTGAAAAAATGTTTACGGTCTTAAAATGATAAGTAGCAAATGGAGAGTATGTTCCTGAAATCAAAAAAGGCTTGGCATGTACTTTCCCAGTATATTGCAAACTGCCTAAAAGGAAAAGGGAGGGGTTGCGCTTTGGAAGCTGAAAAGTTTTTGTACAATAATGAATTGAATTTTCACTGCATGTTTCTTGGTTTTTTTTGAAAAAGTATTTTTACATTAAAGCTGACACCATTTCAGCGATAAATATTTGCCTTTGACTTTACTGTCTCTGTACTGTGATATGTCAAATAATTTGTCATTTTATCATGTGTTGTCCTTGTTTTAAATATTTCTCCCTTCCTGGCAACAAATTCTGTAGTGATTACATGTTTTGATAATGACCTTTGGTTATGGCTGTTTCCACCCAAGTATTCAATTTAATAAATGAAAGAGAACATGTCATACTGTCTTGCAAGAAGTCTTATCTTACTCTTTTGAAAGATGGATATTTTTTTCCTGAAATGCTTCTAAGCAATACGTAGACATACCATGGGTTATTCAATATTTTGATTATTTTCTTTCGCTTTCACAGGTGATTGGGCAGGGGTTGTTCTTGATACCCCAGTTGGGAAAAATGATGGAACAGTTGCTGGTATTCGCTACTTTCAGTGCCAGCCAAATTATGGGGTATTTGTCAAACTCGAAAAGCTACAGAAGATTGCTGATGTCAGAGATCCAAACTATAGGCCTCGTGGCAGCATTTCGGCCACTCCTGCAATAGAGCGAACCAAAGCAGTAGAAAGGACAACTACCCCCGTCAGAACACCAGATAGCACAGAAATCCCAAAAGACTTGAACGTGGGAGACATTGTGTCAATAGGGGATACTCGGACGGGTGTCCTCCGATACCTAGGCGAAACAGGTTTTGCGAAAGGGATTTGGTGTGGGGTTGAATTAAAGGAACCGGTTGGCAAAAATGATGGCGCTGTTGCAGGGACAAGGTGATCTACCATGTTGGATTATACAAGTTCCAAGTTTAGGCTTATTTGAATTTATACCAAACTTTTTCAAATAGAATATAAGGACGTGTTTTAAACTTGTTATACAATAGATGATCTCCGGGCATGCTCACATACCGACAATACTCAACCTACACTGATCAAATTATAATTTTAAATTGCAGCATTTGTAAACCACTAACAAACACGACTCAAAAATCACAACTTTTTATTCAAAGTTTTCTACATGACTCAATGATACTTCAACTTTCTGTTTTCTGACCTCTAAAATTGATTCCTCATTAGGTATTTCCAATGTGATCCAAAGTACGGTTTGTTTGCCCCAGCACACAAGGTTAGAAAGATTTCAGATGGGCCTACTGTCTCTACTCCAGTTGTCGCTGAAGCCGCAACTGGGGCTGCAAGCGCAGCCGCGTCGCCGCCTGAAGTTACCACAACGCCGACAGCAGTGGTGGACGTTGTCAGCCCAAAAGTAGAAAGTGTATGTTCCGCATTGTATTGAAGTTTTAACTTATATCTACATTGTTTATCGATTTTCCATTGAAACGTGCTGCCAATCTGGGTTCTGCTTTGTTGTTTACTTTGGTATCCAAAGTAGGTTGTGCCAGAGTGTTTATTGCTATGAATTCACTATGTGTGCTTTTTGCTTAGGTTACTACCGCCCAGTCAGAAACACCAAAGACTTCACATTCGGATGCTCGCGACCCTGCAATTACGTCACAGATAGCTTCTTTACAGGTAATATTTCCTTATAGCGTTTAAAGAAGTTGCATCGAGGTGACATATATTTAAAGGTTTTATTTAAAAGTAAAAAGATAAGAAACATAACATTAAAGATAAAAAATTAACTAAAGGCAGACTTGAAGGGTCTGTGACTTGAAAATGACTGATAATTTTTTTCTTAATCGAGCCAATCAGGCTATAGATTCTGGAGAAATATCAAAGTTGTACTATTTTTTGCGTATTCCGTTCAGGAAAAGGAAAATTTTACTTAAATGATTTCTATTTTTTTCATTCTACGTAGTTGTCATAGGATCGATTTTGGAGATGAAGTGTTCTTAAAGATGGGTTGTTATGCCATTTAGATATAAACGAAACAGGCCCCTTTTTTGAAATTTCGGGGTTTTTAAGATATAGAAACCTTCATAGTTTGCAAAAGCAAATAATGTGGCGTGGCTGAGAGAAGCACGCAAACTTCCGAGATCCTAAATTAGAGCAAAAATGAATGAGTTTCATGTATGTGAACTAATTAGAAAGCGTGGTTTTCGCTTTCCAATCTCAAAGATTAACTGGCCAATCTCAATCCACAGTTCTTTTTGCTCTATCGAAGTCCATGTTTTGCAGTATTTAAGTTCCTTAAACCCTCCCAAAGGATTTCATGTGATTTGTCTGTAGACTGTCATATCACGTGGGTTCAGCTTTGCGCCGAGGGATTTTTGAAACACAGCCTCTTTAAGAACGATATTTTGTTTGAATTTCTGTCGATATATTTGACTTCACCATTTGATGGAGAATTCTCTTGCAACTATGCTCAGACTTGAAATTCCAATATAATATATATAAAAAATGCTTATATGTATTGTATTCATAGTTAATATCGTTATGATATGATGAAAAAATATAAATATTATTCAATGCGATACGGTGTGCATCAAGGCATAAAATATTGTGTTATTTCATGGTACAATGCATAGGTGTGATCTTATTTGATATCTTGTGATAAAATGCAAGACACTGCATTTCTAAAGATGGAAGTTAATATCGTTATGCAATATTCATGTAATATTTTCAACTTAATGTAAGGTAATATATTAGTTTTAAATTATTTTGCTGTTTATTAGCTTTCATTGTATAGATGAATCAGTTCCTTGGCAAGAAGTTAAGAAAATCATCACCCATCCGTTTTCAATTTCAGCTTCAGTTACAAGATCGTGAAAATGAAATTAAGGGCCTACTCAAAGAGCGAGAAATCGACCGCCAGGAAGTTACCAACATTATGGGACAATTTCAGCAAGTAGGTTATGTTTAATTCTCAATATTTCGATAATATTGGAATAATAATTTTTTTTTAGTTTTGAGAATATTGGTGTAGTAAGTGTTTCTTTCCGAGCCTCTAAACTATTCTAGGCAAAAACTTAAGTTTTGTTTTCTTTTAAGCCATTTCGTATTAGAAAACTGATTGTAGTTTCAAGCGTTTTTTGGGCAAGGCCGGCTAGATGTTTCCTGAAATTTCAACAACCTCATTATTACTAAACAGATTTTTCTATTCTAATGAAGTCTAATGAAGCAATTTACAAATAATTTTTTTGTGGTACAAAGTTTGAAAATGGCTTTGAAAAACCCAAAACTTTTAAAACATACCAAAGCTTTTCGTCTGACACTCTTCAGGGTATAAAACGTCAAAACACAGATCGAAAATTCTACGCTAGGAAATATATATACCCAGCTGTTGATCGCAATAGACCATGCGTACATGACTGTTGAGGTTTCCCTTTAAGTGCCGCTTGCCTACTAAAAATATTCAGTCACAATTTGGTGATAAAGGGGTTTGTCAACACATTGTATGCTAGCCAGAATTTATCTCGTGCCACACTCCTGTGACGGCCGTGGTTATGACACTTATTCATTTTTTCAGAGTGAAAACAAACTGACGTCTCTTAGAATATCTTACGACAAGGTTAGTTATTTTTGGATACCTTTATTTAACCATCCTTTTTTACATCATTGTTAAATTTAAGATTCTAGATCAAGCATGAACAGAACTGATCTTGATCCGATCGTTAAATTTTTATTCTCTGCAATGCAATGTCTCAAATTTTGTTGATCGATTCCTGTTTAAGTTATCGAATTCTTTTGATATATATTTATATTTTTGTTTTGCAGAAATTCATACTTTTAACTTACAATACTAAGCAGAATTTTTTTCATTAGGCATGTAGGCCAAGTAGTCACCTCGCCAAACTATATTTAATATAGCTATGGCTAATACACTGTTTACAGCAATGCATTCATAGTTACTAAGTTACACGATTCTTAGTAATACATAACTCAATAAACATAACATTAAGTTAAACCCTATTTATAATCATTTATAAATCCAATAGTAATCGTGATTTAATATCAACAATCGAATATAAGCATCAAGGTATAGGGAAAACGAATTATTTAGTTTTCTGTATATCTACAAGAACATATCTTTCAAAATTTGAAAATGTAATGTTATCGATATTTTAAAGTTAGAATTTATTAGACAGTCAAACGAAACCCTCTGCATTATTAGCTAAGGAGATATTTCGAAAATAAAATGATGTACAGATATCGATGTTTTGCAAATTCTTCCTTTTCCACCTTTTTTTTCTCACCGCTAATCTAATTATTGTTTTTTGATAAACGATTTAGCTTCAAAGAGACAACGATGAAGAAACAAAGAGGCTACAAAGTACTCTTTCGACAATGGAGAAATCCAAGATTTCAGTTGAAACTGAACTGGAAGAAGAAAAAAGGTATGTCTGAAGGTCAACTTTGCATTCTATTTTATTCTATAAATAATACTTTTTCACCGTGTTATGGCTGAGGGGGACCTAGAACTACTCGATTCAGCACGAAAAGGAATTCGTCATTTCAAAGTGTTAATAATACCAGCAATAATTGTAAAAAATATTTTAAAGATACGTTTTACACCGATCCCCAACAGTACCCTGGGTTCCTGTGTTCTTGTCAGAAAATATTGCGTGTCTGAACCCCGTCCAACTCCAGAAAAATTCACTTCATGAACGATAACATGGGAAGCAAACGACAATGACTTCTCCATGACCAACACACAATGTAGTTTGATATAAAAATTTAAGAAAAATGTAATCAAACTAAAAACTTGGTTAATTGCAAATACAATGTAAAACGAAGAGGATGCTGATATCAGGGGGTTTGCAGCAGTGATGCATTTTAAGTTTGCATTTGCAAGTTCTGTAGCTTGAATGAATTTGAGGGTTGCTTCGTTTAGCTTCTTTTTGATGCCAATGGTTAACCTTTCATCAACATACAGAATGAATTTGAGCAAAACTTCATTACAGACAGGAAAACCAAGGGCTTTCAACCTGTTTAAAACTCAACTAAACCAAATGTTTTTGAATGATAAAAACTAGAAGCAGTAAAACTTTACTGAGTAAATTAATTCAATATTGATCAATTGTGGCTGTCGCAGTTGATTTCATCATCACAGCTTTATCGTTGTCAATATTGTCTGCGCCCTTAGTGACCTTATATTCTCAATTTTTACCCCGGGATTCATTTTTACTTTCATTTATTACTCTTTTTTCTTCAATTTTTTGAGGCCGCAGATTTGAAAGGCTTCTGTGAATTGCCAAAGCGCAGCTTTCAAAAAGAAGCAATGTATTTTGGAATTATTATTTCAATGGTTATTAACATCAAGCATAGTTTGCATTTCCTAGTCTAATTTTCTCATGCTGTTATAAAGCTAAAACATTATGCCGGTTTTTGTATTATTTTTGAGATCATTTTCATCCTCTTTAGGAAGCTAGAAGACTTGCAGTTTCAGCTTGAGGAACACATCGTGACTAAGGTAGGCCAGAATGACATCCAACAGACAATTTAAACCTTTTGTACTGCACAATATCATAATAGTACAGGGCAACTTAATCTCATAATCGATTGGCTTTTACAATCAAATGGCTATAAAATGTATGGCTTGTAAAGGTAATAATGAACTAATTGTCTAGGAGGTAGCATCTTTTAGGCCCGCAATGGTTGTTGGAAAGGAAAGACAGAAAATTTAGTTGCCATTAAAAATGTTCTTTGTAAGGGCCTAGCTAGTAATAATTTTGTGTATTGAGTACTTTTAGGGATTTTGAGACAAAAAATTCACATATTTCGCATTTTATGGAATCAGGAATTGTCATCTGAAGCAGAAAAGGAAGAATTGAAATTAATGCAAGAAAGAATTACAGCTAAGGAAGAAAGTATGAATTTGATAAAGGAAGAGCTCGAGGCAGCAAAGGTAGATAGCAATTTGTAAATATCATGGACGAATATGTTTTCCTTATTTGTCTCAGCTTGTAAAACCCAATAATAGTTTTCAGTATCGTGATCAAAATATTAAAAAACAAAAGGTAAAGGACGCCCGCCTTCTGTACCTCAATGCTTAACCTCGAACTATCACAGAACGGTTTGAAGATCTTGAGCATAAAGACTATGATGGATGGCTTTAAACCATCTAATACCTTGATCAGTGACTCTTGTTCTTATGGCAACGTTAAATTGATGGGGAACAACTGCTCGAATCCTGATTCATAATGATTAATCGCCTATGGGTCCCGCCGAAGATATAGCTCGATACATTCTTGAACTGAACGAATCTCTTGCAAGTGTTGAAGGCAAAGTCATTGTTGAATCACAACGCAATGTTGGAGAAATAGTCCTAATTTTGTTCGTTCAAGAACTGAGTCATCCAATACAAAAGTTCATGACTGCAAGAATCCAGCAAATTTCTTTAATATATGGTTAAGTATATTAATTTAGGCCTGCTCTAACGATATTTATTGATTGCAGCAAGCAGAAGAAGAATGGAAAACCAAGTACAGTGACTTGGAATTCATGCTTGCTGAAACAAACGAAAAAGAGATCCAGTCAACGCAAAGTTTGACTGTGCTGCAAGGGAAACTGAGGGATTTGGAACTGTTATTGAACCAGGCGAAGGAGGAATCTGATGACCAAACATTGAACCTTAGGGAGGAGCTTTCAAAGAAAGATGAAGAAATGAACAATTTTCGGGACGATTTACAAGGGAAAACGACTAGGATTGGTGATCTGGAGTTTCAAATTAAAAAATATGTAAATATCATCGTAATCAATATATTACATATTATCAATATACCCTTTTTATGCTTTCTTATGTTTTATTGATAATTATACTTTGTTGACTTTTCTATACTTTTATATGTTAATTTCTGTTTGGATCTATGATTTATGCGTAGTTGGTATCAACACTTTATATGTAAAAATGTTCACTTGAAAACTTTGTCTTAAATTAACTTTTTTCTAATTTTACAGAAGGAAGAATTAAATGAAACAATTGAATCGAAAGGGGCATTAAACAAAACAATCTTTGGTAAGCTGCAAGCTATGATGCATAAACTTTTTGGTAAAACTTTCTTCGTCAAAATGATTCATCAAAGGATTTTTCTAGAGGTTTACTAGTAATTTTTTGAATTTACTTGTCTTTTATTATTATCTTGTACTTACCTGAACTTATGTTTTTTTGATCTCGTTGTTTTTGCTTTTAAATTACTAGGTGATATGAAATGTTTTTCATTTCAGACTTAAATGCTAAAATCCAGTCAAAGGATAGTGAGATAGCCTCGGTTCAGTCAAGCCTCGAAACAGTGAAAACTGAAACCCAAGGCAAGTTTGTTATAGATCGATACTTGTTAAAACTGCACTCGTGACTCGTAGGGAATTTTGCGCTGCCACGAATCTTACCTCAACAGCTAACTTCTTACCAGGATTCTCTTGGAATGCCAGCTACATTCGAGAATAGTTTGTTTCGAAGACATTGAAGCGCTAATTAATGTATTTTGATTATTAATGTATTTGTTGCAGAAGCTAGATATATTTTATTCAAGGCGAATATATGCTGCTTATACTTGCATTTCTTGATGCTAAATACTTTGGTATTTGGTACAGTAAAAACCCGCGTGTAAGAACCTACTTTTTTCGGAGTTTATTTTTGTGTTATGGGGTATTTATCGACAGTTTGGGCTTGCAGGTTCTTAATTAGGCCCTTAACTTCTATGGAGTAGATGTTATTGTTGATTATCAAAAAATAGCATTATATCTGGTCTGTTTATCTTTCTAAATATTTGATAGTGTACCAATGTTGCCAAAAGCCCACTAACAATTGACCAATGATACAGTACTGTATATAGAATGATAGCAATAATTGTTTCATAAAAACAGCTGAAATTCAACATACATTGTGCTTTTATAGTTTTATTTTAACAATTCAATTTTCTGTCACCTTTTTGGTTTGTGGTAAAAAGGTATATAAATTAAATGGTTAAACACCACTATAAGAACTTGTGGGAGATTGTTTGGCTCAACAGGTTCTTATATTTTGGAGTATTTAAAAAGCAAATTTCTGCTAGAAGGTTCTTAAATCCCTAGGTTCTTACACGCAGGTTTTTACTGTATTAATCATTCAATTAAGCCATGTCTAAGCTTACTTTGTTCATCTATCTTATCTTGTCTTGACCGGAGAGTTTTCCCTTTTGCCAAATTTTGGCCCTTCAGTTATATTCCGTCTTACATGCATACACTTTGTTTTCAATGATCGTAAACGTTTGAAAATTGCATTTATAGAGACGAGATCAAAGTTGAAGATCGCAGAATCAAAGGTTGAGAACTTAGCTACCGAAAATGAGAAACTCGTAAGTTCTGTTTTGCGTTTGCGATTTTTTCCCACTTGCCTCAGAGGATTTGTCTTTAACGCCAAATACCTCGGCTTGCTAAGACTATTGTTATTTGCAAGTATGTTATCGATAGAAAATCCATTACATGATATTGTCCTTTCAATAGAGCTTATCGAGTACCGAGGTGTGACGTCATCAAAAATCTATATTTATCATTTCTAAATTGTAATATATAAACATAATATGCAAGAGCGGCATAAAATAAATCTTAATGTGCAAAATCATTTAGATATTTTCCAATTGGGGTAAGATAAGGCCAATGAAATATTTTGAGTTTGCCAACGGATGACTGTGCCTGGTTCATAAAATTTTGAACAAGTATCTGACGAGAAGTAAGTATGTATCAGGCACCGCGAACGTTTAGAAAAGTGGGGGGGTCTAAAAAAGTTGGGGGTAGGGCTAAATTCAATAAAAAGAGGCTTTACTGGTGGTTCATTTCTAAATATATTGCAATTTTTGCAAAATGCGGGGAAATGGGGGGGGGGGGGGGGGGGAGGAACTAAAGCTCCACGGTTTCTGTTTATAAACATGTTTCCAATCTATTTTCAAGCTTTTCTATGTTTGGCAAGTTTATATTTAGTTGAATATTTTATTGATGTGTAAGCTGCATCATTCAATGATATTTGTTCTCGCTGGTTAAGGTATCCAAAATGTTTTTGAGATGTATGTTACAATCGTTCATTGTAGGAGGCCCAAGTATCACAACTAGCTAAAAGCTCAGGTGACACGTCATCTCAAGTCAATTATTTGAACGAAGAACTTCATGAACTGAAAAAGTAAGAAAGACGTTTATTATTTTCTCAATTTTCTTTAATATCAATTATTTATCTTCACAAATGCGGTACTTATTTTACTTTTATGTCTGTTCAATTTTATTTATTTTTTTAACAGTATATATTTTTTACAATTTTTGAAATTATTTTCCCAAGATTTTTTCTGCATTTTTCCAATTGGTGTTCTAAAAATGTAATGATTCGTCAGCTCTGTAAGAATCAAATATATGTTGAGATAGACCTGAATGTGATAAGATATAAATCATAAGAATGTAGATTATAATATGTTAAACTAGGATTTTATTGATGCAAACAAGCATTTGGGAAAAGAAACCTTCGATTAGCTTTTTTTATATTCTTTAGATTTTAAAAATTTGGTCGTAAACGATACATTGTTATCAGCTATTTAAAAAACTATTAATTTTTTAGATTGATACCAATCACCCGCTATTATTTTTGCTATTTTTATCAACAGGAAATGTGCTACTTTGACTGACGAAAAATCTGCATTGAATGTTCAGGTTGAAAGTTTACGTGAGAATGGTCAACAACAGAAGGTACTTAGTTTCAATTTTTCCCATATATATTGGAAAAATTTCTGTCAATATTTGATTCAACTCGAAGCGTGAAATTCGATAAGATTTAGAGCATGTTCGTATTAAAGTTGACATCCGCTATTTGGTTTTCCCGCTATCTTCAAAGTCATCTTCAAACTGAACCTTTATGAGGTTCTGCAGGCTTCACCTTAGGCATAAATCTTCAAACTAAGATACATATAGCATCTCTTTCCAGACAATAAATTCGTGCATTATGTGTGTATTCGTGATTGAAATATTACTGTAGGGCTGATTAGGTGTTTTTCTTATTTTCAGGAGCTTTCCGATAAAGAAATCGAAAAAATCAGGAAAGAAAAAGAAGAGGAAGTGACGAAGTTGCAGCAAGCTGCTTCAGGCCTGGTATTTATTCCCTGTACATTTGATACCGTGTTTAGTTGTGGTTTCATAGCAAACCGCACGTCTCTGCACTAATCGAGGTCTCAAAAATATCTCTGTTACAGTATCTCTGTTTTCTTAGGCCGCAAGAATTTAGCCTTTACAAATTTTCTGTAATTATTTTGTCTATGAAATTCACTTTGTCTATGGTTTGTCTATGATTTGTCTATGATTTGTCTATGATAAGATAACTTACAGTTTTTATCAGCAACCATAGCAATGGTATTTACAAAACCATATGGTCACTTTCTATCGCTGTTAGAAGCCTGGATTAATCACATAATCAAAATTCATAAGAGTTTTTTTAAAGCTAATACTGATGTGAAACAAGATAAAAATCGCTGATAAGGACCACTGATAATCTAAACTTTAGGATTCTAAAATGTACTTGCTGATAAAGATTTTGTGTTTATTCTGTTCTTTTGATGTAATTATGTTTGGTAAGATTTGTGTGTAAAGCAATAAAGTTTTCTTATAATCGCTTTAAACGTGAAGCTGCAAGTAACAACAGAGTAGCGGCCATTTTCACATACCAAAGTGTGTATGGATGCCTTGTTGTTATCATCATATTTCATTTCGAGAAAAATGTAGTGATATTTTATCTAATTATTTAGAATATAATAAAATAGGCTTATCACTTTCGTAAGTATTACAAGCATACATGAAATGATACATCAACGTTTGTCTCATTACCATTTTTGGTTCTTATGACTTACTTCAGTTGAATTTCACCTAATCCCATTCTTCATATACTCCGTATTTGAGATCCCAGGCTTTTCAAAATATTTTTGCCAGAATTCGTCTTGCAGCAACAGACTCTCTGCAAAACTACGTGCTATTTTTATCATTAAATGTGATATGTATAATTATTCAAATCATAGGAAGATACCATTGTGAAGTTAAAGGAAACCAATACAAGTCTAGAGCAGCAGATACACGATCAATCTACGGTTGGTTTTCTTACAGTTGTAATATTTTTCGTTTGCCCTCGGTTGCCTATAGATGCTCATTTGTACCGTGAAACTAAAGCCTCAACTATTGCTTTAGGCACAATTGCTTTTCGCAGTAATGAAATGAATTTACCTTCAAATTTGCCGGCAAGTTCATCGTAATCTACGACGGCTGCTAATATCCCGTTCTGGAGCATCAAAATTACAACATATAATGCAAGTTTCAAATCCAAATGTTGGTTGTAGCATGAAATTATGTGTTAATGATGGAACGATGAATGAATCTAGCACTGTGCTTAAATCAATTTTGGATTTTTGAACTAATCAGAAGCTGATTCTAAGGTTAAAAAATTCTGATATATGAAAGTGGCAACCTTTCTGTGTCTGTTGAAAGAAGACGAATCTGTTTGTTAGAATGAAACAGCGCACTTGGCGAGCAAGTCTGTAAAGAGAAGCTTTGTTAATAATTAAGTATTATGGAATGTGACTTGGCTAACAAATTAGCTACAAATGGGTTAGAAAATGTCACTGTTTTTGTCTTTCAGTAAATTTTGATCACAATTTTGAAATTTAACAGATTTTCATGTAAAAAAATTTTAATACTCTTACTCTAAGCTTTAATCAAATTAAAATTCGTATATTTGCATTCATATACCTAGCCATCTCTACCATCAACTGACCCTGTAACATGAGACGTTTTTTCATATCTTTTGCAGAAGCAAAAGACATCAGACGACAAGATCGTGGAGGTATCAAATGAGTTGGCTAAAATAAAAGAATTATTGAAATCGAAGGAAGACGAATTGAGTGTGGCTTTAAACAAAGTTAAAGAAAGCCAGACATCTGTTAATAATCTCCAGGTATCCATCCTTCATTGAGGCAATAATACTGTCCCTTGTATCTATAAAGATCTCACAATATTTGCAGTAATTCTCTGAGATGGTGTGAGGGGATAATTTTTTTCAAATAGACTTTTTTTTATTTTGTTGATTTTTGAAGTGTGAAATAGTAATGTAACCTCTTTGGATTTGTTTTCTTAGGCCTCTGTCCAAGAGTTTCAAGGGAAACTTGATCAAAAAACAAGGGAATTAGAAGCGCTGGAGAACTCAAAGGGAAATGTTGATCAGAGATACGCAGAAATTGTTGCTGCGAGAGATCAGTTGAAAACAGAACTCGAAGCTGTAAGCAAAGAAAGAGAAACCCTTGCTAAAAATATCGAGCTCTCTTCAGCGGAAAATAAGAAAATTACAGAGGAAAGAGAGGCTCTTCAGAAAGTAAGAATATTTGTATCGTCTTTGCAACTTTGTAGTAAATTTTATGCTAAGCAAAAGCAAATTTCCTGAAACGTAGTTGTTGTGTCGTTTCTATCCTGTTTAAACAGGTTTTGCATGTATAATTTATTCATCTGAAGTATAAGCATATGCCAATAAATTGCAGAGCTCAGAAAGCAAAGACGCGATCATCGGCAATCTTGAAGCTGAGAAAAAACGAATCGAAGAGCAAAATGCTGCTTTGGAGAAAGAAAAAAACGATTTGAAAATCAATGCAGATGGTCTGCAAAGTCAGGTATGCAAAGAAAGGTCGTATATAGTTTTAAATTAAAAATGATTGGTGGCTTCTATTTCTCACATATCACATATATTTCTCCATTTGGATTAAAAATGTTTTGCGATCATGCCCTTCATATTACCCTAAAATTCATTTCAGAATATTTTTTACGGACATTTTCTTGCAATCGTTTAAAACGTTTAAAACCATTCCTAGTCCTCAGGGCCATGGAGCTATTCTTTCTACACAATTGAATTGGTTTTTTATTTTATATGTAGATTTCTAGTCGAAATTTCCCTGCGTTGAGGGAACTTTGAGAGCACTTTAAAGTGTTGCTTGCAAAAATTACAAGTATTTGCAGGTTTGGTAATTCAATGAGATAGTTATTGAGTCGTGTGAATTTGTCTTTGATTTTTCACTGCTACGCACATAACTACAATCCCCGCAAAGCATACCACTAAATTTCCATTACCACACCCCCCCTCCCACCCCCACTCCATCGCAGCCTAGAAATTGTGATTAGGAAATTTTTATTCTTATTTGATTGCAGAAAAATTTGGCACATCAAACACATGTTGATAAAGCATAAACCTAAAGATATTCAAAACTTTTTCTGGGGAAGGGGCATGCATTAAAAGTTTAGAGAAGTTTTTCGAGTTTTTAACTTTTTATCATCTTTGGATTTCAGTTAGCGCAAGCGAAACAAGATGCCCAGAAATACAAAGACCAAGCACAGCGAATGCAAGGAGATTTGAGCCAAGGGTCCGATGTGGTAGCAAAACTGCAAAGCGAGTTGTAAGATTCTTACCTTCATACCTTCATATGCTGCTTTATGTGTTTTCGTATTATTTTTATTATTTAGAAGGTTTTTGTCAAGATTCATATTTTATTTCTTCTACCCTTGGACCATTTTTGCAATATTGTAATTGTTACTCCCAAAAAAGCCTATATTACCTCTTGCCAATCTAGTCTTTCCTTTGTCTCGGTTAATGTCAGCGGAAGGTGAATCGACTACATGATAAAAATCTATTTTTCTTATTTTTCTTTTTCTAATTCTTTTGTTTTTGACCATCCAGTTTGAAACTATATGTGAAATGATCGGCATTTTATAAGCATTATACAAATCTTTACATTTTATGATCAGATTTTCAAAAAACAGCTTTGATTTCTCCACTACTCTACCACCCTGTGACTGATCTTGTTGAAATTTGGACAGTTTAAGATGGAACCTGTTTCGAAAATGTCTTAAATTCGTTGATATGAATTTAGGTAATACTTTTTTAGAGGGCTATCATCAGAAAACCGTTGTAGGTACAATTTTGTCCCTACATGATGTCACACATTGCTTGTCAAATAAATGGTTAATTTTATTTGACTTTTCACAGGTCGGCAACAAAAGACAAGCTCACATCGTGTTCTGAAAAAATTTCACAATTGGAGACGGCAGAGTTTGAGTTTGAGAATGAACGCATAATTCTTAAAGAGGAGAAATCTAATCTCGAAACAGAGAAGAATGAGGTATTAAAAAGACTTGTATCTGATGATTTGTATAACATTTTACCGATGTAAACCTCTCAAAATATTATATTATGTATCAAGAAAGATATACTCCTCTGTTTAAAGCCCCTCTAATTTACGCCCATGTGATGCTTTGCTAAATGAAATAAATGTAACTTTTTAGTGCCCCTCAAGCAGACAATCCTGGTACTTAAGGTAGCTTTTTGGAAAACTGTTTATGTAAGAGGGCATAAGTTTTACTAGAGGTTTTAGCAAATAAGTTGCGGATGTAACCAAGAAACCGGGGTAAGGACTTTTTCACAACTTTCTTCTAGCCCTAATCCCTCACCCTTACAATGCGAAAACATTTTAAAGAAATGGAATAAATGCGCAACAAACTGTCTTGAATTCCTTTTTTGTTTCTAGCAGCAATTTTGAGTCCATTTTCTTTTGTTCATTTATAGTTACTGCTATCAAAAGGAAGCTTAGAGGCAACTGTTCAAAAATTGAAAGCAGAGAAGGAAGATTTGATTCAACGGTAATTAGTTGACAGTTCTCTTTTGTCATTAACGAACTCAAATCTAGGTACTTGAAGATGCTCCTCACATGCAGGATAACATCCTCGCGTTATGCTTTCTTGTTTTGACCTTTAGACGACCTTTTCATGCATTTGAGGTAATGTCAAGCAAATTTCTGACAGTAACGAGGACCTTTGATCACCTTCGAACACTCATTTAGGCCGAAAATTCTTCCTTACGGTCTTATATTTGTGCAAATAACCTCTAAACTGCTGATATCTCTGTATTAGGGTCAAATTAGGGTCAGTATACCTGTTTCTGTTGTAATGAGACTCTGCTGTAAACTGTATAAAACATTTACCCTCCTCCAATGTGTGTGTATAAAGGCAAATAAACGCTTTGGGGTATAAAACAGGACGGTTTTTAAGAGGCAACTTCGAGTTTCATGCATCATGTGATCGTATCAGGAAACTTTTGCCGGAATTAACTTAAGTAAAATAGTCGCCTGATGATCGAATCAAGCTTGAAACTTGAATTTGCAACTTAGAACCGTCCTGTTCTATACACAAAAGCGTGTACAGCTCTGCCTCGAGCGCTATATGACAGACCGGCAAAACAGCAATGATCCTTAAAAATACATAAACATATATTCCCTATCGTTAATGTTCTCGAATATAGAATGAAACATGCTTGTTAGCAGCTGAAACATCACTACCATCATTTTGACACCGCTGGTACTACGCATATCACATTCAGTGACAAATGGTGCTCTTTTTTTAAGGGAAAACCAAGCAAAGAAGGTTCTAGAGGACGATAGGTTGCAGCTTCAAAACACAATCGAGTCTTCCCTTTCACAACTACAAATGAAAGAAGGGGAGCTGTCAAGCTTACGTGTCAAAGTAAGTTATCACCATCTTTGTATCTACCCAGGACTCGGTAGAAATGCTTACCCAAAACTAAAAACCCGTCTATGCCTTTAATTGCTTGATTTATTGAATAAATTAGCTATTTGCTTGACTTTCTTATTTATGTGAAATGTGCTTCTGTAGGCAGGTGAATTTCTTTATTCTAGAACCAAAATCTTGAAAAGAAAGTGGCAGAACAGGATGCTTCTATAAAGTCGTTGCAAGAAAAAGTTGTCAATGGGGAAATTAAATCTGCAGGTTAGTTGTGAGATCGTCTCTTAAAATTAGCTTTTCTTATACTTAAAGACCCAAAAAGAGCTTTCCCATGCGAAGAAGTTTCTCTCCTGTCATTTTGCTTTAGAAATTGGTTTTATAAAATTATTCTGATATATATTTATATGGCAGTTTTTGCACTGTACAGCCAGGGCCGCCAAGAAGTTTTGGAGGCCCTAGGGCAATACTGGAAGATGAGACCCCTTGCAAACGAAAAAACAGAAAGTGTTTGCTACTACGCCCTTTAGATTAGCTTAGACTCATTCATTCGTTTAAAATGTTTAAATATTTTCCAGGCATAATATTGTAACTTTGATTGATTTTGGCTTTGGAAAAAGCAAACATTTGAGTAAACTAAAGCTTCTCGTCTGACACTCTTCATAGTTCGAAACGTCAGAACATAGATCGAAAACTCTACGCTAGGAAATGTTTATACCCAGTTGTGGATCGAAATAGGCCAATCAGAAACACGAGCACATGACTGTTGAGGTTGCCCAATCAGTGCCGCTTGCCTATTAGAATGTTACCAGTGGAGTCCTAAGGTGAAAACGAACTCCTTTTTTCTACACAGTAGCGGTTTTTTCGTGCTTATGTAGATAGATTCCAAAACTGCCAGATGGATCGATGATCGGGCTTTACCAATAATCTGAAACATGTCACCATTATAGTTTTTTGCACAATCTGGGTTTTCCAGTAAATGCTGCCCGATAGCAGAATCGCAGCTTTTAGTTGTACTTTTTAGATCTGCAAGACCGAAATGGCCGTTCTCTTTGGGGATGGGTTTTATTTCTAATGCTAGAAGGAACATGTTGTTTTATTCTATTCTCCAATCTTTGGGTAGTGCGTCCTACGTGGCCAGAATCACACTGGCACGTAAATTCATAAACAACGGAACTTTTTGTGTGGTAGAAACGCAGTTCTTATGAATAGATGGAAGGGAATTTGATTGATTTAATTTTAAAACGAATTGTATTCCTTTATGAGACCCCCTAGACCTCGAGGCTCTGGGCAATTTGCCCCCTTGCCCCCTTGTCTCCTTCTTGGCGGCCCTGCGTACAGCTCTCATTTAAAATAGATTTGTACCTCAAGCATCTTGTCTATCAGTTCTCATTTGACTACGTATCGACATATATATGATAATTGGTTGCTTTTGTTCGATTTTTAGCGACTAATGGAACCGTTGAACAAACGGTAGAAGATTCTATGAAAGAAGAATTGGACAGCAAAGATAGTGAGGTGAGCACTGCTTCTTATTTCTCCATTTTTAGCTAAATCATGAACTTTTATGTTGATGGATGTAGTTCATAGAAACACCAGTTTTCATGTAGTTTTTTTTCTGTCAGTCAACCCAAAGATCTCATTCCATCTTACTCTAAAGTGTTTTTTTTAATTTGTAGATTCGATTCTTGAATTCCCTGGTTGTAGACCTTCAGGTTTGTTTTATGTTTTCATTTTAATATTGAAAGTTTTTTACACATAACCTTTAACTTACTTGTAATTCATTCTACCAAAGAGTCTTTCCACAACCTTTAACAATAAATTGTTTTTGCCTCGCAATCTCTTTCAGTTGAATTCAAATTCTCCTGAAGAACGATGTTGAAAAATATTTTGATTTAATAAAGCAGCCAAATATTTATAACATCACGCACAATTTTTTGGCGGTAAAAAGTTTGAAAATGGCAAAAAATTTTCAACGTGCTTTAATTTTTTCTTTTTGAGTTTTTCTTCTTAGTATAAAACATCAGAATAAGGTTCGAAAAGGACAAGATGATGCAATTTGTTTAATTGATGTTTCATTTAGTGAATAAGAATGAGTTAATTTATTTTAAATTTCTTTTTAGAATAAATGCGCAGCAGCAGAAAAGAAAATAAAAATTCTGGAAGCCGGGGACGATGGTTTTATAGAAAACTACGAATTGTTAGTATCAAACAATTATTTCCGTTGTAAATTTATTCATGAACTTCAATAGAGTAAATTTTCTAAATAATCCCCAAAAATAATTTCGTGATAAATCCTTGATTTAATACTCTACGCAACAGCACAATGTCTATCAATTTTGATCAGTATTCCACATTGACGAAAAAGCTTGATGACTCCAGCATGTCAAGATAAAATTTCATCTTTTTCATATTAAATCTTTATTAGTTTAAAGATTGATTTTTTTCAAAGCCAGGGTTTAACATCTAAATCCCCCGTGAAATAAACCTTTAGTTATCGATGTTAATAAAAACGCCCCTCAAATGAAATTATTATCGTCTATCTTAGAGACAACGATGAATCGCCTATGAAACCGGGGGTCAAGCAAAGATTATTTTGCGACATATGTGATGAATTCGATTTGCACGACACGGAGGATTGTCCAACGCAGAGTAGCACGGATGACATTGGAACACAGTACCACGCTCAAAGGGGAGAGGAAAGGCCTTACTGCACCACTTGCGAAGGTAGTTTGAGGTCATTTTCCGTTTTAAGGCCCAAATAACAAATCGGCTATGGACCCCACGTAACCCTACCAGAGGTCCATGGAACATCTAGCTATTCTTTCCTCTTTCTATTTGTTCCGTCCCTTTATCTTAGAGCAAGTGAACTACTTTGTCAACAAAAAACAATTGCAAGAAGGAAAATGAACTGCTATTCGAGTTCTTGCCGCAATCTAGAAGCCCCATTTAACTTTGGAATGGTAGCACTCTGGCTTTGCTTCGTTGCAAGATATGTGAGCCAGAGTTTGAAGATTGAAGTAAAAAACAGTTCATTCTGGTGACCAATGAATTAAATGGCTTCTCTGGCCTAGTCCTTGTTGATTCTAATATCTTCGTCAAAACCCTCCTGTTCTTATGAGTTCCTTTTGCTTATACGAAACGAACTTCAGAATAGGTTGTTAACAGGTAAAACCTTGATCACTGTGTTATAAAAATAGAGTAATTTGACACAAGTAAAAATGAAGCGTAAATGCGATTTTTCAGTTAGATATTGTGTTTTTCATTTCAAATATTTTTTCCTTTAAAGTTTTCGGACACAAAACAGAAGAATGCGATGACGAAGAGGTAGGACATTAATTTATTCTTAAAAAACCTTCGAATTTTAAAGGCATTCGAATTACACACTTTCTTCTCTGATGAATGTTGGATATAAGGAACCTATGAATGTTAAAACAAAAAGGTTCTTTTGTGTTATCCCAAGGTTTAAAATCACTATAATTGATTCATTGTTACATTGCTTCTGGTAACACTTTTTTAATACGACTTTTTTACAGCCTTAAATTTCAGTAGAGATTATCGATTTTCATGCAACAAAGTAATTTGAGTAGGAAATTACACTCCTTCGATTCTTCGTTAGTGGATAATATCTTTACCGAAGAAGTGTGGCGAAGAGCAAAATGATCGTTTATGTTTCCGCTTCATCATCAAAAAAATTCCTTAGCGTTGAAAGTCTTCAGGACGTGCTGAAATTGATATCGAAAAATTCCCCTATTTTATACGAACAATTTATTGAAAAAAGGATCTTCAAATTGGTCAAAAGGTAAGAACAAATAAAAAACAAGCTTGGCCTGAGCTACTGTGAAATGTAATTTTGAACAACGTTTTATCTCAAAAAATGAGGAGTTTTTACCATCTTTGGGTGCTTTTACTGCAAATTTTCGAACTTGTTGGCAAATAAACTTTGTCACACACTTTTGTCATTGAGGTCTGTAGCGAAACACCTCCCTGGAGCGAAATAGCCAGCAATTGCACTGCTTATACCCTATTAATTTTAGAACAAATTAAGACAACCCAGCCTCAGATTTTCGAAAAAATCAAGAACAGCCAGCCTGAACCAGCCAGAGAGTGTATCCCTATGACATAATCCCCTTCCTCTGGTTAGTATGTTGATAAAGGTCCTGCAGCATATTATGCGTCGCTGAGTGAGATGTGTACGGTGGCCCACAGGTGCCACGGCAAAACTTACTTTTTCACGGCAAAATTTTCTTTTTTCACGGCAAAACTTTCTTTCTCACGGCAAAACTTACTTTCTCACGGCAAAACTTATTTTCTCACGGCAAAACTTTCTTTTTTCAAGGCAAAACTTACTTTCTCACGGCAAAACTTTCTTTACATGATGTTGTGTACGTGATACTTAGATCTAATCAATGCTTTAGACGTTTTAAACTTCGCAGATTTGCGAATACCTACATCTTCTCTTGATAATTCTTGCAGAAAGACAGCCCAAAAAAGTCTAAAATTTATCTAGGTTGGGCTAGGCTAGGCCTATATACCTATCTCAACGAAACAGTACCGCATGCAAGGTCTTTGATTCCTTTGTTTTGAAAGCAGTGAAAGATCAATTCGTTGAAAATTGGCGTGCACATAAAATTCTTGCCAAAAAATCTCGTACGTGCACTTGGCACGCTCGATTGTGGCTTGTAAAAAACCTATAAATTGGGTATTGTGTTTAGTATCATATCATATCGTATTACTCACAGGGTGGGTTGATGGCCAGGTACTTAATTTTTCGAATAAAAGTAATAACAGTGAATAAAGAAATGAAATAATAAGCATGGGCATAATATAAGGGGAGAAAAAAATCGAAGTGGTTGCCCAACAAACAACATCCATTGTTAATGAAAATTTTGCCTGACTGACTCATGGTAGATTTCTGCCTGATTATCGCTTTTTGGAAACTTTTCAATGTTGAGGAACTACAGTTGCCGCTGCAGCCCCCTTATCTCCCCAGAGGCCCAGACCCTTGTCTTCTACGCCTATGTTAGAAAAGCAAAAGGAACAAAGCAATACGACGACGAGAATCCAATGTCACGAGATAAAATTTTCAAAATAAATTAAATTTAAGTAATAAATTAAATTCAAAGAAAGTTTTGCCGTGAGAAGTAAAGTTTTGCCGTGAGAAATAAAGTTTTGCCTTGAAAAAAGAAAGTTTTGCCGTGAAAAAAGAAAGTTTTGCCGTGAGAAAGTAAGTTTTGCCGTAAGAAAGTAAGTTTTGCCGTGAGAAAGTAAGTTTTGCCGTGAGAAAGAAAGTTTTGCCGTGGCACCTGTGGGCCACCGTAGATGTGCTATGATTTGACTTTATAATCATCAAACTCTTTCATCATTAAAAGTAATCCGATGTTAAAAATACATCACAGATTTATTTTTTATCTAATAAATTTTCATGTACAAAATCCTTTTACGTTTATTTTCTAGTTGTCTAGATTTTTTAATTTGTGAATGTTCCATAATTCTCAGCAATGGTCTAAGTAATAAATTTTTTTTCTCTTTTTAGACTTTTTAGATTCATAAGAGACCTTGTCTGATTGAATATTTAGTGCATGGGCAGCGTGCTCTCTGTAGCATATCTGCAGATCGACTGTGTGGCAGGCAAGACTTCGATTTCCTTGCGTTCAAGTGTACTTGCTAATTCCAGTGCTGGTGAAGCTGAAAAACATCGTCTAGTACTCATTGCATACAAGCATTGCTTACACTTCTGGAAAAAACATTTCTGCTACCATCCTTAAACACATTGCTGATGAAATTTATGTATCAAGTTTTATTTATCTTTGATGGTATTTAATTCCATGCTCCCAATATTAATCGGTCCACTTTTTATTACTCGTTATGTAGGATTCCCCAATTGTTGTATTGTATTTGTCTTAGGTTTGTGTTCCTGTTTTTCTTTTTATCTCATGCATCCGACGTATAGTAAATCAAATATATACTGCATAATTCTATGGAATCTTGACGTAGGTTATTCTACTTTTCGCAGAAAGGCCCAGCTCCTCTATGCTAAATATTAACATGTAAAGATATAACCTAAACAATGCACGAAGAAATTTTCTGCCTTAGTTAAAAATTAGAGCATACATAGTCACATTTGTGCTGTGTTTTCCAGTATGTGATCATAAAACTGGAAAGTGAAATTTGTATAAGTGTGCCTCGTGATATAAGCTGTTTATGCCATACGAATTTTGTCCATCCGGGGCCGGTACAAGCCTGAGAAGATTAGTAATTGAAATGGGCGTGGCTTTAAAACTTTCAAAAAGAATCGAAACGCCCTCATAAGAAGTGTAAAAGTTTTCTGAAAATGGGAAACACAACCATCCACGCATATTGCACCCCTATTGCCCCCATTCTCAGCCCACCCCCAGTAAAACCAGTAAAAATACACCTCAACACTCTGGACGACTACTGTAATTTAAAAATGATTGGAAATTGCCGAAGGTCCATAGTGACTCCCTGTATAGATTTGTAATCAACATTTAAATTATTAAGGACTATTTTAAAAGAACAGTCTTTTTATTATTGATGTTTAGATCTTTGAAGATTAGTTTTTTACCATGTTATTGACAGTTAGATAATTAATGTGTTGATTTGTGCCAAATTCTGTTAATTAGTAACGTGGCAACTTGCATCTCTGCCGTAAATACGGTAGACGGTTGTATGTGGTAATGCATCAAAATGCCAAGTAACCCAAACCCTTTTCTCTATTCGTGCTTGTCTGTTAGATCCGGGAACATCCAACCGATTTTTGTGGCGTCATAAGATAATTCAATTTAATTACCCTGTGCACAACACTGATCACTGATGCACAAATGTGAAAATGCCAGATCGGCATGTCAATAATCACCTGTTTTCTATAGAATGTTAATCGACTTAGCTTTTTGACAACTTTTGACTTCTTGACACTTTTTGAATAAATTTAACTCTGATTTTTTAAGCAATGAATTTCTAGGAAACCCAGAATGAAATAAGTAAACTATGCACAATTGAAAGGAATCAGGTTTTATTGAAATTGTTGTTAATCCAGTTTGGAATGGGATAATTATTCTTTGTGGTGAATTGCAGAAAATACAATGCGCCAAGTGAAGCATATTTTGTCAACAAAGTGATCCTTTCACGTTGTATTCACCTTGCTGGTTCATTTGCCTCCTCTGTTCTGGGTGTGTGCCCAAAATGGGTAGACTTTGAACTTCAAACGGGATACAGTATGTATTTTATGAAGCGCTCTTGGCCAGCCCATATGTTGGCGCCAGCGGATATTGGACATAGCGGCTATCTGTGAAAAATTCTTGTATTCAATAGGTAATTTGTCAAGGGAAGATCCTATGGAGAAAACTCAATAGACGAGTACCCCCAGCAAAGACGAGGTGTCAACGAGGTGACTATCACAATCACAGTAGAATTTGTCTTGGCTCACGGCATAAGAATTTGGAATTCTGTAAACGCTATGCCATGTGGAAGAAATCTTAATGTTGAGTTTTCGTTAAAATTGCCTCTTTTAGTTTGATTTTCGCTTTTGGAGTTTAAATTTGTCTTCACCCATAACCCAACAGCGAAGAAGAACTTTCGAGAGGCTACGAGGCTCTCGTACCTGGAACTGCGAAGGATGCAAGGCACTGAGATGAAAGGCGCCAATATTCGTCGCGGGAAAGATATGGCGGAGCACTCATTGAGAAAACGACCGAAGATCTTGCTGTCAAATTTCAGCGCTGAAGAAAGAAAAGTTCTTTCTGATAAGATACGCAGTTTAGGAGGAATAATTTACGAAAGTTCTGTGAGTAAAGATGTATTTGATCAAGCCCTATTGATTATGTGGCGCTCAAGTTGTAGGCCTACATTTTTGCGTGCACATGTTTTGACTTCATGCCAATCTTTATTTTGCAGACTTTAGATGCTCCAAAATGATACATGATGGTTAATGCTGTCCATATATGTTATGTGCAAAGACTAAGATATATTCAAGTGATAGGTACTTTAGAAATTTCCAAACTACGAGCCTCGTCCGATCGATCGGTTACACCCCCATAATTTACAAAAGTTGAAATTGGACAGCCTACAATTCTTTTGTCGAAAAACGGCGAAATTTCTTGATACAAGTTTTGCTCTAAAGTAATCTAGGCGATCCAAAGCCGAAAAAGTTTGGTAGTTTGAATTTCAATAAGGTTAAATATTCTGCAAACATAGAATTCTCCTACACTTGGCCTGAAATTTTAGATATCATCGGAGAGAGATATTTGTATACCTTATTTCATAATATTCTAAACTAGTATTACCTGCTATCAGTAAGGTATGCAGGAGACAATAAGAGTGGGGTCTGATTACTTATCAAAACCATGTCCCTTGAGATTTTGTCCAAAAAGGCAAACACATTGGTGGGAGTGAACCATATTGGAAAACTTCACTCGAAAAATTCACACTGATAAAAACTCACAAACTAAAATCCCTTCAATCACATCTGAAAAATTGTCACTTATACCATAGGCAAAAATAAGTTATATATATAGTTTGCTTGAAATTTATGCTTGCATAGCCAAAACAATTTGTGTTTCCAAACCTGCTAAAATTTCTTGGATCTCCCAGCAACTTTTTTTCAATTTTTCACTTCTTCTCCCAAATTCTATTTTTCCATACACAAACTTCTGACTTATTGACACTGGTGAGACTCTGACTTATTTCAATTTTTTTACAGAATTACACACCACTTGCAACCCATATAATATGCAAAACACCATCAAGAGGGGAGAAGTTTATTTGTGGATGCGTGTCTGGTGAGTAATGCTTATCAGTAAATTTATCTTTTAGAAATCAAAGTTTCCTATCTACATATTTGAACTTGAGAAGTATGTCAGAAAAAGTTTGTCAGAAGTATGTCAGCAAATGAAAACTGAAAAGCAATGCGATCGTTGATTTGCACAGGTGATTTTAAGTTATTAAGAAAAACAGAAAATAATACTTCAACAGAAAATTATTGCTTGCTCAAAAATCAAAAAAATCTGCCAGAGAATACCCTTGATGACCTGTGTCCTTGGTTGGTATCAAAAACCCAATGTTGAATTTGCTGAGTTTTTTCTCAAGGAGTAATCTTACCCAAATAATGATATTGCAGTCTGTTGGAAAGATTGTTTATGCTTGATCAAGTTTATTCAACAAATTCCAAAAATTAATTTTGCTCTGTGGTAATATTGTTTTTATGTTTTGAGGGGCTCAATAAATTGCTCTCAAAGGCTTTTTTTAGGTGCGCTCAGGTACATGCGCTCGATCGAGCACCTTTCCGGGCAAGGTTTGCCTGTCGCCCTCTGGAACTTATTTATATTTCTAAGGGGCAAGAGAGGACCTGGAAGAGAGGAGGCTAATTATAAAACTCTGTTGTGGCTAGCATGTAAGATAAGAATGTACTAGTAAAGGACAAATTTTGGCAGGGGAATCCAGCCTTGGGTAGGGTGGTGCAGGGGCGTGGCCTCTAGAATGTTTTCATGGTAATATGGCAAAATTGTCTTTTTGTGACAGACAATAAGCTTTTAAACAATATTTTGAATATCTCCATAAAGTGGCCCTACAGTAACAAAATGGCCATACAGTGTTTTATCACTGGAAAGAGGAATCTAGTCCTGCTACTTTCACGCCAACCCCCCCCCCCCCCCACTTTTTGCAAAAAAAATTTTCTATGGTGCCATAAATCCTTTTACAGTATTGCTTTATTTCAAAAGTAGCGAATTCCATTTTAAGACTGGAATTAATCAAACCTAAAAAACCATGCCTTAAAAATAGCAAAATTTTTGCAAAAAAGAACTGCAAGGAAAATTCTGAAATTAACTCACTCAACTGAAGTTAAAATAAGGATGGTATTGGTTGGGGTGTATTCTGCTGATGTTCACTATATTAGTTTTTGCTGTTCATTTCATTTACCAGTAATTGGATTATCGGAGCACTAGTACCACTGCAAGCCCTGGGATGCCTTTTGGGTTTTTTTGCAAAAGTATTTGGGCTGGAAAGCTGTTTTCTCATTCTGATACCAACGACCTGACCAAGGATGCTTGAAGATTGACTTGTTGTTCCAGTTTTTAGCTTCAAGTGTTTAACTAGGCTTTTAATTAGCTTCACTTGCATTAGATAATGTAATTTGTACTGGCTTAAAAGCCCTATGTCCTGTCAGTCAACCATTCCACTAATAACAGGCAATGCATTGCATTTGTCATTGAGAGATTGCAAAGTTTCTTTGCTGACTGTAATAAACAGCAATAACCCAAGCCTGTCCATAAGTCTTTCAGCAATCAGCTCTTCTAATAATTTCCAGGTGAGCCCAGAGAGGAGCGAGAGCTATAGCTCTCCCCAAATGGCCAGGCCAGTAGCCTGATCCAACCAACTGGTGTTTAAGTGAACACCAACATTTGTGCCTTTAACATTTCCTGTCAATTGATTGGTTAGACATCTTGTTCACATCATCCTTTTATTTGTTTCAGGCAAATGGATTTTACCACAGTCATACATTATTGAAAGCACAAATAAAAGAAAATGGCTAGATGAAGAGAGTTTTGAATGGACAATAGAGCATTGTGAAACAGATTCACCTTTAAGAGACTTGTTCTCATTGCCAAAGAAATGTAAGAGATTTCTGAAACACCAAAAACTAGTATTTCAAAATTGGATTGTTCTGCTTATTTTCACTTCTCCAAAGAAAAAGGAAAGCTACAAAAGGTATTGTACTTTTTAACTTAACCCTGCAACCTCACCGTAATATATGCCCCTCATGCAAGTAGATCCTTGCTGTCAAGTAGCAGAGCTGTCTATGTTTTAGTTTGTAAAATAAGACAGTTCTAAGTTGCTTCTCAAAGTCTAACTTTAAATGCAATCATCAGGCAACTTGCTTCTTTTTAAAGTTCACCCTTTAAATGTTTACACAATTTAATTCACAATGTGTGCTGTTCTGTTGCATTGCACTATAAGGATTGTTATTTTGTAAAAATTTAACTGATAAGAGAGGTAGGGACGGAAGATGGATTGCTCAAGTATTCCTAGCATTTTCTATCATCCCTATTGCTCCTAGTGGTATAATTGAATGGTCCAAGGAATAGAACCAAGGTCACTGAAAGCTTGCCTTAAAGGGGCTGTGTCACAGTTTTGTAAACAAACCAAATACATGGGCATTGTGCATTTTTCAACATTGGAATAATGGCAGATGGTGCTCCCATGCTTCAATATGTTCGATAGATTGTATTTAATGAGTATATTTACCGAAAATAGAAAGGAAAATTAGTTTTCCATATTTGTACCTACTACCGACATGAAATGTGTAAAGCAACTGGTCTAGGCCAAGGAAATGAAGCTTCATTCAATCAATGGTGAAGATATTTTGTTTCTCTTAATGAATTTTGATGGCATTAGACACTTTACACTAAAATGATCACTCCAAAATTGTCCTGCAAAGTTTAAAATGTTTCCCTCGTAATTTGCACCAGTAAGGTTTTTTTGTCATTTCGGCCCATTTCTATAACTGCTGCCTTCGAGTTTCTGTATCAAGGCTGTAAAAGTAGCCTTTGTTTTTGTGCATCGCCATCCTTTATCCAAAAAAATATGGTGATAAGACTGAAGAAAGAACCTCAATTATTTGTTTCCTTTCATAAATCATGCAAACATGGGTGAGCTTCGTAAGATGTGCTGTTTCACCCAAACAATTTTCACTCAAATGGCGTGTTGGGACGTGGGATGTCTCTTGTGACACAGCCCCTTTAAGGGTTGCAACTCTGAGCCTCTAATTTTCCTCCTATTTATCCTTTGGTCTCGTTTTACAGGCTTATAGAAGCTGGCGGAGGACGTGTTGTCAACTGGAAACCACCGTATCGTGGAAGTGACTTAAAAGTGATTAAATTTGTTATATATGACGATATGAAAAAAAGAGAACTTTTTACTCTGAAAAGAGCCAAAGTGCCAATGATCAGCTGTGAAGACATGATTGAGTATGTCATCAAGGTAAAACCAAAAAAATTTTCACTTACTGTAAATTATGTATTAAGCACTCAGTCAAGGGGCTTTTATCCAGACAATGTTATAGAGAGATCTTATTAAGGGGACTTTGCTGAAAGAGCAGGAGGAATATTCCTAATATTAGCTGCTTGGAGTTTCAAGGTATTTGGAAGATTGACTTGTGGTCCCAGGACTCTTCAAATTGATGTCAAATGCAAAGACACATTAAGCTCAATAATAGTTGAGTAATGACTACAAATGAAATATTATAAATGTCATTGAATTTTTCAGTATTTATTATTGATAGGTCTTATAAATGGAGGCTAAATAAAAAAGGGAACTTGTTTTTTCAAAATCTTCTTCTTAAAAGGGAAGGAGTTTTAATACAGTTTTGCATAGAGGTGATGTGCTTTTTGTTAGTCTTAGTGTGAACAAGTGGACTGTCGACTAGTTTAAGAAATGGTGAGCTAGACCAGTGTAGAAAGATGCCAAGCCTTAGAAGATAAGGTTTTCCTCCGGCATGTGTTGCTTCAATCTTTCTTTGATAGACCTAATCTGTAATATGAGCATAAAGGAATGTAAACAAAGTTACTGTTTACTGGCCTACCTTATAGTGCCCGATACCATAATATGGTGAGAGCTGTGCATGATTTAGTATATAGAACAGGACAGATCTAAGTTCCAACTTTAAGTTTCATGCTTTACATCATGGTGTTATTTAAAAGATTGCTTGTCTTGGAATTCCAATCTTCTTGTCTTCTAAGGGAACAAATCCACGATTGTCTAACAATGCTGACAAGACGTCTCCAAAGCAAGAAATGAAAACGCCACCATCAGCCAATAATAATAACTGTTTCCAATTGTCGAGTGGTTTAGGCTACAAAAACATCATCAAATCATCTGAAAGGGATAACTTGACTTTGAGAGAAAAGCATGCCAAAAAACAGACTGTTTTAAAAGACTTCTTCATTAAAATTGACAAAATTCATGGCCAGAATAAAACATCGTCTTCAGTAGACAAGAAAGTGGATGATCTAAGCTCCTCTAATTCTGATGTTAAAACGCCATGTTCCCCATATTCACGAAAGACTACCTGTCTGAACAATTTTCACGTCAGGAAAGATATATTTGGGAGTAAAGCATTATCAAGCTACCAGAGAGATTCTCAACGTGCGAAAGATTCTTCGGCTCGTGGTTTTTCAGAAGCTGAATTGAAGCAGAATGGTTCAATTCCAATTCAGCAGATGAAAGCGAGTGATAAAAGCGGTGTTCTCTCTGCGAAAAGCCAAGGATCGTCTGGCATTGATTGCTCATCTCTTTTAGTCAAGTCAAAAGCACACTGTGATGTAATTGAAATTGTTGACACTGAGGATAGTCAAAACTGTCTAAAGGCTGGGAAAGACCACTGCAATACAGCAAAATTTGAGGCTGCACGTGTAAAGGATAAAGCTTTTTCCAGCTCTGTTTCCCCAAAAGTTGGTCCTGTTATTCAGCATGACGCAAAACCAGTTCTTTCAGTGGCTTGTGAACCAACTGCTGTTTGTGACAAGGTCCAGATTTGTGAGGTGCCAGCACCTTGCTCCAAATCATTAGAGGTAAAGCCCATCAAAGAAACAACTAGCACTATGAAGGTTATGCCTTCTCAAGAGAAACAAGTTGAAAAAAGAAAGCAAGATCTGCTGCAGTGTCAGGAAAAGGTTGAGACAAAAAACACTGTCAAAACTAGAAAAAGGAAAGCTATGGAAATCGATATATCTTTTCTGCTCGACAACTCTGGTCCTAAGACACGGTCTTCTGGCAATAACAAAGCTGCTAAAGATGTTAAAGTGACTGAAAGTCCCCCGAAAAAAACAAAATTGGTAAGAAGAATATGTTTCAAAGCGGATATGGTTTTTTATGTCATTGTACTTTCATGTCTATGGTTGTAACGGTGTTGTGTAAAAAGGCAAAATTTTGACTTTTATTTCCCACAAATTTAAGAAATTTTCATTTTTCTCTTTTTAGATTTGCTCATTATCAAAACATTTGATTAACGGAGCCATGAAATTTATGTCCCATGAAGTTTTTCGATAGTGTCGCTTTTCGCCTAGTTTTCACCGAATGAAAATTAGAACTGTATCAGTTTTATTTCAGGGATTAAGCGGGACATATGAGATAAAATGGGGCAGTAAGGAGTAATCAGGGTTATCCTTTAATATTTTAGTACTTTTTGTAATCAGAATATTTTTCGTTATTATCTTGCAGATTGAGGAGCTTCACATCACAAGTGAACCAGTCAGCCATTATGCACCCTCATTGCAACCGTCACACGATATTACAGGGGTACGGAAAAAATACTCATTTTATTGATCGTGGGTCTGTTTATGAAACATGCTGCTCTTTGCTCTGCACGCAGTAGAAGCTATCTATCAAACTATAACGCTCGCTACCAACAATAAGTTTTATATCTAGACATGAAATAAACAAATTGGAAAGAAGTTCATCTCATTGTGTTTTCTTGACCAATGAAAACCCAGTGTGATTTTATTGATTGACATGTTACAATACGAAGATAAGCTCTTCTATATATACAAGACCAGGTCTTTGCCGTTATGTGGTTAGACCGCAAAATAACTTAATACCAAGAGGACCTTGTATAGCAAGTGAGTTTCATGGTACCTAATGTTTTACTTTGTAGACTAGAAGACGTTTCCCGTTGCATAGAAATGGGACAGATCTCATCGAAGGATGTCTGGAAGAAGAGCACTATCAAACAGCTGTTAGAATGATGTTGAACTATTTAACACCGACGTTTTACTTGCCTTCAAGAATGATTCACACTTTGATGGAATTACAACGTGTATGTGACCACTAATAATTTTATGTATTTACAATGACATAATATTTTTTGATCTGCAGTCAACAATCTGAGTAATGCTGTAAGAGCATTGAAATAAATAGATTATGTAGGCACATTGCATAATGAATTTGCTAATCGATAACCTTGTCTCCAACGTAAGACGAGCTCAGGCTGCAGTCGATAGCTCGTTTTACGTTTCTATGCTTTTGAATTGTCAATGATTGCCTCTTGGCCTGTTTAAAGATATTTTGAATGGTCCAGCATGAATGAGATGCATCATCAATGAATTTTTCTAGACGTTAACGGAGTTAAATTCTTGCTTTCTGATTGTTTTTGCTAGAAATGTCTCAAGATATTCAGTCAATTGAAGGATGCCTTAAAGGGCAAGTGTCGTGAACATTATTTGCTAATGGAATACAACTTTCTCTTTTGTTTTGTAAATAGCACCAAATCGCAGATGAGATACACTCTGTGTCTAATGCTTTCACTCTACAAACTCATTATACATCTAAAGACATATTCTATCCAATCACAAAATTGATTTGTCATATAGCATATGTCTAAGTATGTTTGATTTCTCTTTAGAAACCAGTGGATACCTTGGATCGTTCGCTTGCCAGCTGTATACGTTCCATCCTCAACCGCTGCGTCCTTCTGCATCCGCCTCAGTTTTTGCAACGGGTTTATTTGGCTGCGTTTGCACCACCGCTAGACAGTGATGACCAAGTCAAAGAACCGGGACTTGCCTTTGAATACATAATGAGTACATTCAGGTGAATAACTTTTAGCTCTTGCGGTCTACCAGGCTTGTTTTTTCCGCATTATCTGTCACAGATTGCTTAGTTCGAAGGCGAACTAGACCATGTAGGCAATATAGCTATTATACTTTTTCAAGACTTGCAACGTGGTGTAAATTTTAAAAAACAATAATAAGAATTATATAACTGATGATTTGATCGTAAGAAAGAAGTATGATGGATAGGTTTGCTTGGAACTACTGTAAAAAATTTGCAGAGTTTGATTTTGATAAAGGAAAATTTTCTTTATTCTCTTTTACAAGTTAGTTAACGTTGTATATATGTATATCTGTGTATTTGTTTATATTTTGTGAGCTAAAATGTTAAATCGAATTTAAATAATTTAGAGCAGCATCAACAAGGCGAGAAAGAAGATGTTTTTATAACAATTAGGACTTGACTTGGAATTCAACTTCTGCTTTTTATATTTTTAGAGACTTCAAAGCAATATTCAGTGAAGGGAGAGTAGAGAATAGCATCAGGTAACTTATATATAATTCAATAATTTCCTTAATCCGTTTAAGTTTTTGGTAGTTATTGAGACCATTAAAACGTCCTGGCTACTGGCAGTAAAACAAATTGCTCATTATCTTCATTGTAGTTTATTAAGCTGTGCCATGTAGGGTTTTTTAAGATTCAAGAGTTTCAGAAAGCATGAAGGTATATACATTGTCAAAGGTATTGAAAGCAGTTTGCAGGAAAGAGCTTTGGGGTGTCAATTATGAATATGATGGCATTCTTTAAGTCAGAATGTATGAAAGCTATGTATTTAAGTCACGATGTATGAAACCTATGTATGATGCATCAGTTTACGAAACGTTAAATGAGATGCAAAATTAAGAATGCTCTATAGATATGCTTGCTCGTGTAATCACTCTATCTTTGAGTCCCCTACCATACCACTAACTTTATTTACTCATCTATTCCTTCCTTTTTTCCTTTCTTTCAATTCCCTATTGTGTTAACACGAAGACCTTCAGATTCATTGCTTTTTAAAGCTTCTAAATGCTAAAGTTGATCTTATCCCTTCCCCCCAACTTTAAGAATCCTCTCCTATGAAATGCTATAATTTTTATCCACAACTTGTATTTTTTTCCAATAGAAAACAAACACTGATGGATCTTATCAAGTTTATCGTAACCGTTTTAGAAACTGATTTTATGTTTCACGCAAAAGGGTAGGTGTTAAGAGACTTGCTTTTAGATGCCGATTTAAAGTGGGCTGTAAAGGCCCGGTCCAACGAATAAAACATCCGTAAAACATTGTCAAACATTTTTGTACCAACATTGTTGGACGATGTTTTATGACCTGGCCAAACGAATCAAACAAATGTTAAAACACCTGTAATGCTCAAGCGCTGCGCACAGCTTCCTACGGTTACTGCGTTGTAATTGCCAAATTTTAACCTGCTGCGCTTGCGTTAGTAAAACAAATGTTTTAAAGGGTGGCCAAACGAGCGCAACGTTGTTGATCAAACATGAGAACAAAAGAAGGGGTGGCCAAACGAACGCAGCATTGTTGATCAAACATGAGAACAAAAGACATGTTTTACGAAATGTCTGATAGAAATAAAATTTTGTAAAACATCGTAAAACATCGTAAAACATCGTAAAGCATCGTAAAGCATCGTAAAACATGGTGGCCAAACGAATAAAACATGTTTTATGCAACAATGTTGGATGATGTTTTATGCCGATTTTTTATTCGTTTGGCCAGGGCTTAACAGCAGTGGGTAGTGCTATCTCTAAAAATCAGTTAATAAGGGCGTCATGATAAACAGGATAGGATATTTTAAAACCAAAGGTTTATTGCAAAATGTTGCAATATTTCATATTTCTGTAGTTTATGTATGCATTTTCTAACCCTATATACCTTATTTAAAGGCAACAGGATTTTTAAAGATAATTAGTAGAGAGTGCGGGAAAATAACCGACCCTCGCTCGTACATACCTTATTATAAGAAAGGGTACGATAAAATGAAAAGGATGGTGATTTTGACTCCAGTTTTTCTTCTCAGCCCATTTCTCATAGAATCAACTGTTTTTTTTCGCTTGGAGGATTAATTTGTTATTATTCTTTTAAGTTCCGCGTCCAAATTCCAAAGTTCTAGAAAATATTTTATGACGTCATTCATTTTCACTCCATTTTAGGACAAAAACAATAACTAGTTTTGTCAGTATTCACAAATAGGCACTATTGTATGCACAAACATAATGTCTCATGATTACATGTTTCATAACAATCATATTTTTACTGCTATTTTCCCCATAGGTTAGAATCTTGTAAGATTATGAGCGGAAAGGGAACTTCCAGAAAACGACCTGTTTTGGCACAGATGCTTTGGGTCAACGAATCGGCAACTGGAAGCGGTGCAATGACAAATGAATTGATCATGTTTGCGCTCGAACTCACCAGAGTTTCCCAGGATATCCCTGAATTGGTAAATGACGACTTTCTCACGTTTCCTTTGCTTTCAGATCCTTCACACTTAGAGCTAGTGACGTGTTGTCAATCTTAGTTGATTTTGCATTGCCACTCTTTTGCTTCTATTTATGCAGTATGTAATCTGAATTGACTAAATATTGATTTTAAGAATGGTCGAAAGCTAAGATAAGATGTGTCTCAATGGTCCACCGAGCCGAATAATTCTTGTAACCATTTTTATCGTAAAAAATGTTGATATTTCCTCATTAGGGTTCTATTTATATTCACTGCATTTAGTCGAAATCAAAATTGAGTCTGCTTCGAAAGCCAACGCTCGTTCAATGAGCCAAACGACCCATTGAAGTGATGGATGACTTTTGACGCCAACCCTTGCGATTCTCACCGTGGCCAGTGTATTTGTTTCTTCTATTTCAGCTTTTGTTGACCTTCGTCAGTGTCACATAGCCTTGCATAGTTATTCATTAGGCCAAAAATGGGAAAAGCTGTGACTGACTTTTCCAAGTTGAATTTTCAGCTGGTTTTATTTGCACCATGTTTGAATTTTTTTTCATTTTTAGGTTGCCTTGCGAGGCCTAGTTTTTCGACTTATACGTATTGCCGCAGATTGTTGTCAGTTGTGTGACGTCAGGACAGTGTCAATTGCATACGGACCAGCGAGTAGGCTCTTCACATTAACATTTTGTGAACTCGTGAGCAACTATCTTGCCAAAAGTGGAACGAGACGAAAAGACTCCACTTCAATCTTTGCTTTTCTGAAGCCAAAATGGCTGTTGACTCGTCTAGCTGACTTTATGATTGGTTCATATGACGCCACGAGAGTGAAAGACGCTTCAAGAAAGCTGCTTTCGAAACCGTTATCATTAGAAAAGATTGTAAGTAGAGACATTTTGTGCGATATTTCAGTACCATTAGTTTTCTGTGGAAGCGTTTCCTAATCCTATGCTCCTTTTTGTATTTCTTCAATAACACTTAAAACAGTTTTTGTGAGAAGTGAGATTTTTCGCCTACGTTAAGAAACTACCTTTAAAACAAGAAACCATTTTTTTGCAAGAAACCATTTTTTTGCAAGAAATCATTTTACGATCATTTCAGCCACCCTCCAAACTCAATTTTTTCTCTCAATCAACTTTTATAACAATAAACTCTTACTGTTACCAAATAAAAGTCGGCTGTGCTACCTCCATTCTTCAAACTGCAATGGCCACCAAATGTAGCTTGAGCACCATGATTGCGCTTGTAATAAAGGTATATTTTTCAGTTCCAATTTTCCTATTTCAAGCAGACAGACCCCCCTGCCCCCCCCAAATGATGTTGGAAAGAAAGGCAAACATTTGGCTACACATCAGTTACACTGTTTTCCGCTCCAACCCTCATTTGTCGTCACTCTGTAGTTGGATTCCAAAATTGTATGGGGGGGGGGGAGGAGACGTTGAGTAAGAAACAGGATGAGACTGCTCCAAGAAGGGTTTTCAAAGAAAGAGTAAATGTTACTGAACCTATTTCTATAGAACATCTTGAAATTTATTTATAATACAGAAAAGTGCTCGTTGTTTACGCAGTTTTCAAAGGAAAACAAGTGGAAAACTTTTAGAGAGTGTCTCAGGGAGGATTCTGAGATTTGATGAACTTGTGGGAAAAAACAGATCAAACAAGGGCAATCTGTGAATCTTTAAGACTGGATTTCCGAATAAGAAGTTTTCCGATGCCAGTGGTTATTCTGATTCCTTAAAAATTCGGGCAGAAGTGGCTTCATGTTCTCACGTTTTACCCGCGTCTTCTTTACCCATAGGTTTCGTGCTATTTTCACCTGATTCCAACGCATGGTAATGACACAATGGTGACTGATGTAAGCAAAAGGAAAAAAAAGAATTCCTCAAAGCCACTGTCCGTCATCGGGTAACGGTTATTTTGAATTTCTTGTTACTCGCTCTCAAGTTAATTGTTTATATTACAGCCAACCGGGTACAAGCAACTCACTGCCAATTTGAAGTCCACGGTACCTTGCAAGAAGCTCTTCAAGAAGTTCAATGCGAACTGAATTTTGATTACACAGAGTATTTCCTCTCTATGTACACTTACGGTCTGTTGATATTCTTTGCTAGATGTTCTTGGTCCTCGCCATTTCTGGGGTACATCAACATGGTTCCATGGAATAAGCTTTTCATGTCAACAAATATCTGTATTTTCTTACAGGAATACGGAGACCTCAAGAATCAATGCATCTCGAGGTCAAAACGAGAAAAGAATTGCTGTCAAAAGAAATGTCAAAGGTATATTTCTGTACTTTTTGCAAGTCCCGTGCTTGCCAGACTTTCCTTAAAAAATTTGTCCCTGCGAGCACAAACTGTTTTGAAAAAGTTGCCTGCATGATTTTTTTCTATGTAATGCATAGGATATAAAATTGTTTAAAGTAAGAGAAATAAAGTAAGGTTTAATGACGCAAAGACCAGTAAATTTTCAAAAAACTATTTTAACAGGAAATTACTTTAGAATGACGATGGTTTTATCAACAAAAGTAGCATTATAGAATTTAAACAAACTTTAGCTTACGACAGAAAAGGAAAATTTGAAGCGATTGTGTCCTTAATTTTATTCGAGCAACAAACGAAATGGCAGTCGTTTTTATTGCTTGATATTGTTTGATACTATAATTAATAATTCTTTCAGCTTTTCTAAAATTTGGGCCATAGACAGCAATCACTATTTCCATCTTTTGCACGCTCCAACCAGATTGGTAGTTTTCCCTGAATTTTTTTACACAGATCGTAGTGTGTCCTTCACTCATTGACCGGTTCAACCGATAACTTGCCGCAGCAAGGCCGACAGATTAAATAACCATAAGATATTTGGTTATTCATAAACTCTAGCTGTCTTGTTTGTTTTGCCAAGGACCTTACAACACTCCAAATAAAATTCCTTTTCTCCAGAACCTCCTCTTGCCCAGAGCCTCCTTGTATCCAGTGCTTCATTTTGTCCAGAGCCTCCTTGTGCTGTGGTGCAGACTACGCCACCCCCGCCCCCCCACCCCACCCCAAAAATCAATATCTATGTTTTAAAGCATATCCATATTAGATCATCAAATGTGATTCGTAAGATTCTTTCGAAACTTCGTACAAAGTGATATTTCGCTTCCGAAAAAGACGGCTCGCGATTTATTAACCCAAACTACCCAATAGGGTCAGTTATTATAGTGAGTTATTGGAAAATCAAGTTATCAAAGGCGTTTCTGTATGTGAAAACGTCTGTTACCATTTTGGTAGCGAATCAAGTTAATGAAAGCCAGTAGGCATGGTAATCAGCAGCGATAAGTTATATATCAATCTCTGGCTGCAGAAAACAATGCTGTGACTAAACTCTATTCTGAGGACTAATGTAATGCATTGTCACAATTACTTCCTGCCGCGCGTACTTTGAATGTGCATAAAGCGAAAATCGCTAATTTCAAACAATAAAAACTTTGATATCCCCTCTGCAAGGTGAAACCCAGCTGCATGTAGCCTGCATCAAAGATAGGCCTACGGACGTGAAGCTCTTGCTTTTGAATGGCCTGGACCCGAACCTCAAAGACAACGCTGGCTGGACGGCGCTGCACGAAGCAAGCAACCATGGACATACCACTTGCGTTGCTGAATTACTCAAGTGTAAAGGTGAGACTCCTTGAATCTAAAATAGGAGAGCTATTCCACATTTTATACGCTTCCTGGCCCCTAATTCCGAATACATTGAGCTACTCCAGCTACAGTCAATCTGTATGAAATCAATCAGCTAGGTATGACCATTAATATTGAATTAGGCCTCGGTTACTCTCGCACCTCACATTCAACTAACATTTACAGCTTATATAGAGATTATGTTTATGGGATGCTTTAGAGAGGTTTGGTCGTATATAAGGTAGATAATAAAAGTGGAGACATTACAGCTATCAATTAAACGATATACGAGTCTATTTAAAGGCTCTTGAGCAACCGGTACGTATTTCGAATATATTTTTAAAGCCGGCCTAATACCGCACTGTATAAGCATGCAAAACACATACCGCAGCATGCCGGTTGCGCAAGAGTTTTGATGTGCTGCCTCAAAAAATTTCAAATGCGTTTGGAAACTTGGCAGAACTCTTCAACAAATATTGATCAACTGGGAAATTCACAATCCTTAAATCCAATAATGGATGTACTTCCCTAGATGGTCACCATCTGGTTTTATACCAATTTGTGTGATATATAGACTCACTTTTGATCACTCAAGATTGTTTATTGCTCACGATTTAATAGCGATTCACTCCTCCCAGAACCTAAAAAACATCCTCCAAAACCTAAACGAGGCTAAACTAAAATGTCCAAATCGGCACAATTTCTCTACAACGTTTATCAAAGACGTCTGGAAAATAGACACTCCAGGCTTTATTTATACGGGCTTGATTGCATACCGCTCAGACTAGTTCTGTTCCAAGAAAGAACGCTCAGGGTTGTTGCTAAGGTATTCTGCCATCACGTATATGCGTGTTACTAAACCATTTGTTTAATTTCGCGCGCAAAATGTCAAACGAAACCAACGTAAATAAAAATCTAAAGCAATACGCAATCGTCCCGTTTCCTCGTTAGCAGTCAAATTTTACGTTCCAAAAACTGTATGTTCCGCAAATTAACACATCCTCTTTTTTATAGACTTGGATGTTTTTGCTACTGGTTTAGGCGGCTTTTCCGCTCTACACGATGCAGTTGCAAACAACCAACTGGCGGTCGCAAAACTACTCATCGAAGCTGGAGGTAAAAACTTCCTCATTCCTCAGGATTTTACCTGTATTTTCCCCAGTATTCATTGCATATAGTGTATCTGCTGCCATTGGTCAATTGGAGACCAATCACGTCTCATTGATATCTGTGATTACGTCAAACGATCTTTATTAAATAAACTCAGTTAATATCTTGTGTTTCCACGTTCTTCGCAAATGACCAGAAAACTTCCTTGATGATGCAGCAGCAATACAAATAAGTACCAGAAACCAAAAGGTCAAGTAATCATGTTTTTGAACAATGCTAAAAGCTGATATCTTCTTCAGTCTTTTCTTCGCTCATGTGCGCTGTGAATCTCATGATCTCATTGGCTCCTCGCAGCTTGTTAGCGCGAAGTCAGTTTGAAAATAGGATCACGTGCTCTGTAACCAAAGCAATCTCAAAATACACATGCATGTCACTGATCAGTGATGCATATGCTTGGTCGCAGCGTGCGTGCGAAAGATTGAAATCGAGGTCGGTCTGGGCGACGAAGCCCTGTCGCCCGCTTTAAAATGTATTGACGAGCATCTGTAGAGATTTTGTCTAGCAGTTCTACTGAAGTCTCAAAATAAGAAATACTAAGAATGTTCCTTTTTGGCATCTCGTCCAGCACTGCACTTTTATTTTTAGCAAGACAAACGTATCTTATTGGATCCTGGAACAAGTCCGAAAAATACGCTAGACAATTCAACAGGGATCTTTGACAAACATGGCATTTAATAAAATGTAAAACGTATCTTATGGTGACTAAATGTTTCCTGTTTGCAGCAAGTATTCTAAACTAAGGGTGCGGGTTTAAATAAGAAAACGGGGTTCTCTTTTCAAAACTTTACCGCGCCCGCATGTGTAATTCATATCAATTTATCTTGATTTTAGGAATAACCCTTCTCGAAATGAAGACCGACAGCGGACAGACAGCTTACGATCTTGCAAATACTAACACTCTCAAAGACCTGATCATGAAAGGTCGAAAGGCACAATCCTCCAATGCAAAAAGTGGCCTAACCATTTCCCAAAAAGTTTCCCAGAAAGACCTTGAAGAATATCTTTTATTGCTGACAGTTTTATTAAGAAACGTGACGGGCAGGCTTGATGAGACGGAATTAGATTTTGAAGAAATGGTGTTAAACTTGACGAACCACGCTAAAAACGTCTGCAGAAAGCAGACAACGGTGTCAAGGATGTTGCTGTGTGTTATTAAGGGTCTTGTTTGTTAATTACAAGCTAATCTTGATGCTAGAGGCGGATGACACGAATTTTTATATTATTTCCAATATTAAATGCTAGGGTTTAGGACAGTTCCGACTGTACTTCCAATGTTGTTGTTGTTTTTGTTGTTTTTGTTCATATCCTTATACACTATAAATGATGCTTATACCCTGGCTTTGTGAAGCCCGTCTTGTTATAAACACGGATACAACTATGGGGGGAGGGGGCACGGCTGGACATATGGCTGTAGCTTTTATTTATGCTACAATATCTCAACAACCTTTCCCCATTGATAGTCAGGCACTTTCTAGTGGTAGGGACATAAAAATTGACTGTCCATGATTGTAGTATGGGTTCACCAAAAATAGTAACATTTACCAAGAATTCCTCGCTACTGAGTTTTTTGCTTGTGTGGTTCCATGACCTGTCTCTATAGATGGGTGAATCTGTGACGTCATGAAAATACTTTTAGATTTTTTAGATTTTGATTATTTGACCTGAAAATTTGTTATGAAATAGACCTCATGTGATAAAGCAGTCTGATCTTACCTAAATTGGATGAGATTAAGCCTAAAAGGCACACGCAAATGCTGGACCTCTCTCGTGTCATATATCTCAACTAGAATTGATAATATTTGACTGATTTCGCATATTTTGGTTTTAATGATTTCATCCCAAGCAACTCGATTATATTCTATTGCTTTTTGAAAACGCTTACCAAAGCAATATACAGATTTTCAAATTAGCCCCTAGAATTTGCATTGTAAAAAAGACAAAGAACAAGGAACTTGTCCGATGTTTATTAATTAAGAACGAGTTTTTCGTGCCACCTTGGATGCATTGTACAGAACTTCTCGTTATGTAGAATCAATAGAGTTCTAAAGTGTGACGTCACCAAAAACCTATTTTTAAAATTGTTGAATTTTAACTACGTAGCATAAAAGATCACCATGAAATACGCAAAATTGGCAAAATATATCCAAAATCGTTTGAGATATGGCCAACAAAAGATTTGAAGTTTGCTAACGAATCACTGTTATTTTTGCTCTGTTCATAAAGTTATGAACAGAGACCAAATGACAGAGGTTCGATGGGGAAAGAGCCAATACACACGTGGCCATATATCAACCAATTCGTGACATATTTGACTGCTTTTGCCCATTTAGAGGTATTTCATGATGTTTTTTCAGGCTATGGGATCTAAATTCAAAAATTCTGAAAATAGATTTTTGTGACGTCATCACTTTAAAACTCTATTGGCTTTATGTTGTGTTTTGAAAATTTTCAGGTAGGAAACAGTGGAATCGAAGTCAGCCTGTGGGATACTTTATAGGTTTTTATTTTCTGAACGAGTTTATTGGAAACCACCTAACACTTTCACAAAATTTTATTGTAAAATTTTCCAATTTTGATCACATATCCTAAAAAAGAATTTTTAAATCACTCAAGCATGCGTGAAATCATCTTTGTGTGTTAGAAATTTGCTGGGATATGGCCACATAAGCACAAGCTTTTTCTCCGTAAAACCGCTGTAAACAGAGTTAGCAAACTTTGATTGGCAATATATCAACCCACCTTTCAAAAGTATGTTAACAGCCCCTTTTCAACTTCTTATTTCATTTTTATATTTAAAGATATTTCGTTTTGTCTATTTGTTTTATGTGGTCAAAAGTTTTAAAGTAAAAAATAAATTTTTATGACGTCACACTTTAAGACTCTATTGCATACTGATCTTGTTTTATTAGATATTTCAATTCAAGGGGTACGTCATACTAAAGTTCCTTTGTAAATTACAATGAATTTCGGGACAATTTTTTTCTCTCTTTTAACATTGCCATAGCAAATGCTGGCACATTTTTCCTACACCGAAAATGCTTTCAATTATCCTGTAATTGTTTCTGTTTGTGATCTCTATCGCTCAATTAAATATATATTTTAGACCTGTAAATAATGAGTGTTCGGTTTTGTTTATGTTATTTAGCAGTGGAAAATGTAAAGATATAAAAAAGACCAATGGTTGCCTTTTTGACTGGTGTTCTTTTAGGCTTTAATGTCTCAGAGATCTTTGGTACTTAAAGTTTGATCAAGTGGCTGAACTTTGGTCAAGTAGCTGATATTGTTCGAACACTCCCTTGTGTACGTGAATAATCTTAATATTTAGCTCATTTATCGCGTATCAGTTTATTTCTTTACATCCGTAAATCTCACAGTGCAGCTTTCATAAGCAATACAGATGAAATCTCAGTACAAGAGAAAACTAAAATTAAAGATTTTAAAGTTATGAAACTAAACTGAATGAAAGATGAAATACATGTTTGGGCTTCGGATTAACACTCTTTCATTTGTTTCCTTGGCTCTTTCAAGATATATCCATCGCCCACTATATTAGAGCGTTGGTAAACTTTAAGCTTTATGTTGTTAATCTACAGGTTCTTCGAACTAATTTTCAACAGTGACTAGGTCACAAAATCTTATTTCGGAATTTCTTTATTTTATAAAGTAGTCTGAATTAACATCATAAATTATCATGAATATGATTAGAAAAAGGGAACGCTATCGCGCTACTAAAGCATCGTGTAACATTTTTTGATCGTTGCAAATTACTGCGCATGCGCTATTGGATTTCTCCTTCGTTGCGCGCAACTAAACAGTCGAACATTGCAAATACCATTTATGTTTTCCATCAAATCAATATAGTATAGTCATGTTTAGAAAGTTATCATTATGAAATTTGCTTTCAGGGATTATCTTTCTAAATTCAAAGAAACATTGTAAACGGAGAAAATTATGACGCTAACTGTTAGCTCTGCAAGCGCCTTATAAACAGAAAGCTTTGCTAGATATAAACGCCCTCGGCATTTGTGGAAGACCTTTATCTTCAACCTTTGTTGACCATTTCCTTATATCAATGGGATTTCAATACAACCAGCTGTGTTTGTTTTAAACTGATGTTATTTACGATAATTCATGCGTAGGAGCCTGAAATATTTTGAGGGATAGTAAACAAATTTGTTTGTTTTTATCTCCCTTTCTGACAATGCTGCCTAGAAATATCCAAGGCTCGTGGTCTAATCGGATAGACAGAAAATTATCATCAAGCACTGAGACGTAATTAGAATTCCACTGCAAAGTTGCTTGCGCTGCAGTTTCGAAAACAGTTGCCCCCGCTCATACAATCTCGTTTACAAAACTGATCAAATCGATGGTTTACACTAGCTGCCATTTGCACCAGGGGGTTGGGTATTCCTTTCTTCAACGAAAGGTCGTGGGTCTCTCTCCCGGCCTGGCTAATAGACCTCACTTTTGGATGAATAAATCATGAATTTCTCTTACGATAAGAAAGAAATTTCTCCCTTATATTTTGGCAGAACTTGATTTCTCTAAATTTCTATTTGGTCGCGGAGCACATCGGTCTGGTCTGATTAAGTCTACCAAGTTAGCATGCAAGGAAAATTAATAAGGTAACCCCCGTAACGTTAGTCAAGGAATAGCTTATTGCCCAGTTTCGAATATAATAAGAACAATTATCCGGAGCAATTGTCTGTTTCAATATAAATACATGGTCCTGGAACCCAGATTTTCAAAGCTGTTATTACCAAAACAGTAACGAAGCAGCCTGCAATCCGATTGTCAAAGTGTGGTTGGGTAAGAATATGTGCTATGGCATCTCTATATGTTTCTTACCTTTACCTTCTATTTATATATTCAATTGTTTAATCGTTTATCTATTTAGAACTTGAGTAATTTGCTGTGTAGCAGAATCTCTGCTAGAATATGTACCAGGGTGAGATTTGAGTATGCCACAAGAGGTTTTAGCTACATGGCTGTGAAGACCTGAAAGTGTCCCTAACACAATTAGAGAAACAACTCCTTCTGCTTCATTTTAAAGAAAAGTAAAAAAGCACCAACTGAGCCGGGATACGCTCAAAAAGTCAAACACAACCTCTATAAGATCAGCCTTTAATTTAGCTATTTAGATAATATTTTCTTACAATATTGTGGGGCAATGTGACATCATCAAAAAACTCTGTTTTTAGAATTTGAGAAACTGGCCCTAGAGCTTGGAGAACGTCATGGAATACTCTTTATCTGCAAAAGCAGTTGAATCTGCTCGAAATTCAAAATAAATTCTCAGTTCTGGAGTTAAGATTTGAAAAATGACTTTGATTTATTTGACAAGCTCAATTGTAGCAAAAATTTTAAAATAATATGAACATCTTGTAATACCATGATTCATAGAAGTAAGCTTTCAAATCTGGAAATTTTGCATTAACTACATTGAGACTTTTGTTGTGCTTCCTTTTGTAACTTTATATAAACAGTTTGCTTCTTTAAGTTGTTTTTAAAACAGTTTACAGCATTTACATCCGCAAAAAAAGTTGTGCCGAGACGGGCACTGCTTTGTCTAATAATTAAATATTCACAGATTTATTTTCAGCTCGCTATCAAAGATGATTGCCCAAAGACTCTTCCTCATCGTAGTGTTGGTTGTTTGCTTCAAAACAGAGTCAAACTCCGCCATTTACGGTAAAATGTACATTTATTTGTCCATCTGGGTTTTATTTCTGCTGTTGCTAGGCAACCCAACATTTCCTCCCTAAAAGCACTCCTAATGCTTGGGTATAGTATAATCGGGGGTGCAAAGCTGGGGGGTTCTTAGTTTCTTGCGATTTTTTTGTTGGGGTCCCTTTTGTAATTTTGTGGCAGCTTATTCCAGGGTGTAATATTAATTGTCACAAAGTGATTCAATGTTTTAAATGCATGCATGAATCACATTTGTTTGTGGTGAAGTGCCGCCCTATATCATGATAAAATCAACCCGGGTTGTATTTTAGCCTAGATTGAGATTTACTAGGTATTTAATGCGTATATGTCTGGATCGAGTTTTAGCTATTTCAATCATACCATCAGCACTCTTTGGGTCGGAAAACTAGCCATTCAAATATGTGTTTTATCTCGTAGCAAAATGCTAGCCCGGATTGAATAAGTGACTTGAACTCCCCAGAAAAGTGAAACTTTCTAGACGTTTTGGCGAAACTCAACCTGCTGTTCTCATGTATAAGTTGTCTAGATAATTCTGATTTTTTTGCTTATTTTGTGATTTTTTAGGAGAACGTGGTGAGTTGCGAGCAAGGTCATTGCGAAGAGACTTGGAACACCTTTGCAATAAAGTTGGCAAGCTGAATAAAATAATACAAAGGCTGAATAAAAGAGTACGACAACTTGAAGATGACAGGGAGGACTGTGCTCCAAAGTGGGTCAAAGGTGACAGGGGAGGCAAAGGAGAGCCTGGTGTACCTGGTAAAAATGGCCCTGCTGGACCAAAAGGACAAAAGGGATCGAAAGGAGATATTGGACCACGTGGCCCTCCTGGAATATCCTCTAGAAGACCAACTGCAACGGTGCAGCCTTCCAATGCTACAGTCGCTCAAGGAGCAAATGTGTCATTTACATGTACGGTAACAGGGTACCCAATGCCTACGATAACATGGTCGCTGAATGGAGTACCGATAGTAATTGATGGATTCAAATTTAAGATAATTGGTCAATATAAGCTACAAATTAGTGGTATAATACCAAGTGATCAAGGAACGGTCACGTGTGCTGCTCAGAACAGCCTTGGAGTGGAGATGTCGAACGCAACCCTCTATATTTACGGTAAGATACTAAAGATACGGTCTACGGCTTTAGTAAGATTTTGATAATCCGACTACCCCATACATCTTTCATAGAGCAATGACCCTTAAAGATTAATATGGTAAGGTTCATCCGAATATTTTGTCATACTTGGCTTCTTACGCGCATTTAGAGTGACTAGGAAGTAGGGGCAAACATGGTTCTCATTATAGTGTTTATGGTGTTCTTTGACCGTAAATCTTTGTTATTGATTTTGAAACTGACTAGTGCCAAATTCCTTATTGAGTAGAATTGCATATTCGTGTTTGTATCCCCCGGGATATGAGGACCTATAATATATTTAAGTAAAATTAATACAAAACTGTTTATGGCCCTTACAGGATTGGCTTTATAAAGTAATTTCACTTGCCATTTCTTAAAAAATATTTAGGAAAGATAATTGCACCCTTCTTGCAACGATATTGTAGCCTGCGTGCAGACTCTACTATTTTACGTAGGAAATTTTTAGATTCTGCACGCAGGCTATATTTTAGGTATATGTTATTCATTGTACTTTGGTTTACCGGCCTTTTATAGAAATTTCGATGCCAATATAGGCAGACTTGTATATGCTTTTTGTGCACAAAAAAGGACGGTTCTAAGTTGCAGCTCTGAGTTAACTTATAATGCGAATATCATTTTTTTAGAAGAATGACAATGCATTTGTTTCTTCTTCGACGTGATGTTGATTAGTGACCGACGGAATGATACTGCTTTAATATCCCTCTTAAGTGTGATGTCATGAAAAATCTATTTGTTGAATTTTTAGATTTGACCATATAACCCAAAAGACCATGAAATGCTGCAAAATCAGTTAAATAAGTAAAAAATCGGTTGAGATATAGTCAATGAAATATTTAAAGGTTACTAATGAACTATTGATTATTTTTTTAAAGTTATGAACAATGACCAAATTAAAGAGGTTTTATGGCTGTGCTTATGTGACCATATCTCAACCAATTCGTAACACATTAAACGAAATTTGCACATCTAGAGGTATTCTATGATGCTCTTTCAGGTTATGGGATCCAAACTTAGAGATTATAAGAATATAACTTTGTGACAACACTACTTGTTAAGTCCATTAAAGCTCCATCTACAATTGGCTTTCTTTGAAACCAAGTTTGCTTAGTGGTGGGTTAATTTCTTTAAAAATATTTTATTCATTGTTACTGCTTTTCATGAATTTGCCAGCCTAGGAAATTTCCTCTATTTGTAAAGCCTTCACGCAAGCTATGGATTTACTAGCCAGAAAATTCAGTACTGTTCAACAACACCAGGAAACCTGAACTTTTTCTCTAACTTTTTAATTTTATAGTGGACAGTTGAGTTAAATACCTAATCTATGTTGAATGAAAAATGTAGCTCATTGGGAACAGGGCCATTGACATTTGGCCGGGGGCGAAGCCAAAAAATTTTTTGAAGGGGAACATTTGCTGTCAGAAAAAGGCGTGCCTCACTCTTTTAGGATGTAGTCACAAGGTACCTAATTTTATATGCTGATTTAATGGGTTTCTATTCAATATCAAATATTCGAAAAATTTAATTTCAAGTATTTTTAGTGCCATACTTTGAAATATCGGCTGCTACAGAGATGTTCATTCGTGCAATTGTCAAAAAATTACAATTGTACAACAGGGTAAGAAGTGAAATTTCTTTTTTTGCCTAACAAAGATTCTTTTTGATCAAGGGACATAGTCTTAGAGGTACAGTGTCCCATATCCACCCCCCCCCCCCTCTCTTTGGCGACGCACCTGCATTTGGCGGTGACTACACGCGTTATTTAACATACCAGTTAGTTTTTTTCTAGTTTCTGCGGCATGATTTACCGTGTTGTTATTTCTTCCCAGCCCCTGTTACAGCTTCTGTGTTTCCACCGATAATTACGGCTGGTGTGG